TCTTTTATCGGGCCTGCAAGGGAGAACATACTGACTCTCCCTGCTGTGATTTAGCATTCTGAGTGAATGTTTGAACAGGGCATGTGCATTCAAAATTTGGAGCTCTCATAACTCAGAGGGAGAGTCTTGTTCTCTTCAAGTACTCCTAATGCTCCAGTTTTCTGATTAGATACTCTTGTGCACTTTTCCGAACCTCTTCCCTTGTGGGGTTGCCGTCACTGCAGGCAATGAAGGCGTCTCTCTTCGTTTCAATGTCCTCAAACTCTAGTTGCCATGGCACCTCTAATACATAGGGCACACAGAAACTGGAAGTCACCGCCGTACACAACTCCCATTCATGTACAGTACACAAGCACAAGGAGACTAGTTACATAGGTCCTTCCCCAAAGTCCCTCCAAAGCATGACATGATCTTACAATCTCATCTTGACATTGCAGGCGGAAATAACGAAAAATCCTTTCCTTGATAGGGTTGCAAACGCTGAGAATTAAGTTTGATGATGAGATCATTTTTTGGTGTAGGATAATGCAAATTTGGTGATATCAGCCCCTGTGATGGTGCAGTCATATTTGATGAAATAAAAAATAGGAATTTGGTGACTGACTCCAATTTGCAGATGATTCATTGTGATCTGGTGATGGAGTCAATATTTTTGCAGGCTGAAAATATTTGGTGACAAGTTCATTATTATTTGGTGGGTGATTAAATATCTTTCTTCACAAAAAGGGGGTTTTGATAAAGAGAGCTGCTTGTGGCTGTCTGAGGTTGAGTTGGGGCGACTGGTGAACTGCAACTGCGCAGGAAGGAATTTGCTGGCGTGGACGGCGGGGTGTGAGAGTGGGAAGGGGAGAGACAGGGAGCTGCGTTCAGATTAAGAGCATTTTTGAGGGAACGGATGGATTCGGAGGCTAAGGACGCAGGTTTGGAGTTGGCATGGGAAGATGGAGAGGATTGACGTTTCGGCCGAGGGGTTTTGGGGAGGGGAGGACGGGGACCGATTCTTACGAGACTTCCTCTTACCAGGCATTCTCTGCCTCGTGAGAGGGGGGAGGATTTAGGGAGAGAATCTGGTGAATAGAGAGAAGAGGCTAGAAAAAGGAGTGAGAAGAGAGAATGAGAAAGTCAACAGTGTGAGAATATCTTTACAAAGACAGTTCTGAAATGGAGAGTAATGGCTTCTCAAAGACTATTTCGCGCTGCCAGCCCATGGCCCCGGCAACAGAGTTGAGAATATGACATGATGCTGCCTGGGATTAGACACCAATCTTGAATGATTGCCATATGAAGTAATAAATGCAAAGGGGTTCTCATCATGAGTATGAGCTTATTTATCGCCTGGACTCCATGGTTCTGTTTCGAATTTGGGGGTAATAAATGATTAAGTGTCCGATTTTATTGATTGATATAATGAGACTAGGAAAACATATGGTGAGGTACTAAGCACTCCTGTAAGGGATGATTCCATGGAAAGAGAGAAGTGCACTTTTGTGTGTTGTGTGAAAAGCGAGACCCATACCTCCATCTAGTGGCCTGGAGGAGAACTTCAAAATTTCCACCAAAAAAAACCTTCTCCGTGCAACTTGGGCTTATTAGATCATCGCGTCAGTCTGATATTGGATCGATGATAGAATGGCGTTTTTGGGAAGCCAATATGGAGCCAACATTTAGACGGTATTGGCAATAATGGCAAGATGTACTGTATATAGACATCGTGCCCAATGTTGGTCCAGCATTGAGCCAATATTTGGTGTTAGCAGGGTGGTAACACTGGATAGAGTCCTGGGGCCGTATTCAATATATTTCTTAAAAGTAAGCCTAGAACCCTGCTAAGGTGTCTGCAAAGGTTAGGAGGGTACTCAACTCAGTCATTCAATATCTATCTGATCACATTGCTTATCCTAGCAGAGTGCTAAGGGACACCGAGCAAGCGTTACATCCTGGAACGGCCCTATTCTTTCCGTGTCAGCATGGCAGTTTTCAAATTAACCTGCAAGAGCTATTGGTTTTGCTGGCGAAATATCAAGAGGACTTTGTGATGGGTTCATGCCAGTGCCAAACGGTCTTAGTATGCATCTCCATCTGGATCTTCATTCGGTTGTTCATCCATGAAGACATTCAAATACGTAGTCATGAAGTCCTCAGACCTTTTGTGAATGTAGACGATGGAGCCTCATTTTCCCCTGCCCAAATATTACCTTCACCATGGTCGTCCTACATTGTCCTATTATTGTATGTGCTCCATTATGTCGCACTCGTTGGCGAAAGCGAAAGCCGCTTTCTTCGAGAGAGAAACCAGAGGCTTCTCTACTTTGTAACTGGCCACACAAGGAGCCTAGTGGAGTACCTGGACATCGTAGACACCACCGGCCAGCGGGCAGACATAGCTCGTACATGTGATCCCATATGCACTGTTGCAAACGCACATGACGTTTATCGAATGAATCCATTAGAATCCCTTGTGATTGAAGAAATTAAGCTCATTAACTGAATACCGACGATCACATCAATCACAACTGGGAATTGACCGAAGGCATCCCTTTATTGTGCCATCTGACCATCATCTGGTTGCGTCACAAAATGTGAAACCTTGCTCTCATAGCAAGTACAACCTTCTAAAATATCCTACTTGCAGAAACATGGAAGACTTCCATACAGTCGCTCATTTAGCACAGTTTTAAAAGATCCTGTCACAAAGTGCAGTGAACCAACACAGATTTGAATAACATGGATTATGTGGTGATTTCTGGGAGCTACTGGTTCTATGTCCTCTTGAAGGTCAATGAGGAAAAGAATGCTGCTCATGTCAAATCGGTAACGCTTGTACTGGACAAGTCAGAGTCGTAATAAGCATCAAGCGGGGTCCCAGTCGGCACATTCACGTTGTGTCAACGTTGAGAAAAGTTTGAAACCTTGACACTTGGTTAAAGTTGAGAATCCGACGAAGAATCGACGTCAATGAAATGCTGGCTATTCGTAATTAACAGCATTTGCAGCATATTGTGACTACTCGTGGATTAGCGAAGTCGTTTAGTGGCTATTAAGCGCAAATTCTTTTCTCATCATATATGATTTGCGGTTTGATGACGATTCTTCTTCGGATTTTCAACTTTAACCGAATCTCAACGTTTCAACCTTTTCTCAACGTTGACACCGACGTGACTGTGCCGATTGGGTTGATTATCTGGCGAAGAAGTCTTTGGCAAACAAGTGCCCTTCTCTAGAAGATAATCGGCAGTTGAATAAAAGTGTTACTCATGTTATACACTAACCCACTTATCCACTCTGCTAAGACATAAGTGATGGGGGACCCTTCCTTAGATTTGAGCAGTCCACTTCAGCTAGATGCTATGCTTAAGAAGGATATCGAATAGGGTCATCCTTTCAAGTAGGGTGCTTAGCCGCGAAAAGTTAGTGGCCTGCTCAAATATAAGCAAAGGAGACTGAGATACATTGATGTAGACATATATTGAATACGGCCCCTGGTCGTTTCTTGAAAAAAAAAAGTTATTCCCTATTTGGTGATGCATGCTCCATGATAAGACCATAAATATTATTCAACTAGCGAGTTTGTTTTTTGCCCTTCGGGCAAACAAACTCGCTATTGTCGCGCCTTTGGCGTTCCATTACCAGGATAGTGACTCATTCAATACTTTATTTTCAAAGTGGTCAAACCTATTAAAAGAATGTGCCCATCGGAATGTGTATCGAGAGAGAACAAACCGATATTTTCATCGGAATAATTACTCACATTGTTTCTTGTGTGCCTAACTTCAAATCTCTTCATAATCGGCCCTGATGGGTCATATTTCAAAAGTAGGACATGTACTCAGCAATCGAACAGGTACTTTTGCTCAAAGTTTCAACTTTAGTTCTCTCCTTCATTGAATCAGAAAAGTTTCGGGAAAAAGCACCTTTTAAAAAAATATATGTCCCCAGGGCATGTATCCAAAACGTGACATTTTTCATGAACTCAGAGTCTCAGTAGGTACGTCCATGTCACGTTTCAGCTTTCCATGTTTATCCGTTGAAGCAAAAAAAATATTTGAAAATATCTCCCCCCAAAATCGGTGCCCCCAGGGCATTTACCCCCAAAACCTGAATTTTTCTGAATTCAGATTCTCAAAAGGTACTTATGTATCAAGTCTCGCCTTTCTATCTCTGGCCAATTTGCTAGGGAAAAAAAATATTTGAAAACGTGTGTCCCCATGGTTTGCATCTGAAAATTTACATTTTCCCTGAAATTTGTGTCTCAGTAGGCACGTCCATGCCAAGTTTCAGCTTTCCGTGTCTCTTCGTTTGATTGAAGTAAATATATACCATTGAAAACATCTCCCCCTAAAATGGGTGCCCCCAGGGCATGTACCTCTAAAGTCGGACTTTTTCTGAACTCTACATCCCAATAGGTACATGTGGAAGTTTCAGATTTCTAACTTTTCTAAAACATGGTTAGAATTAGCGTCAGTCAGTCACGATCGTCTATATATATTAGAAAATGCGATTTAAGAAGGTATCATAATGCCATAACACTCCTATAATATTCACGCAACGTTGGACTTTGACCTTCAAGGTCGATGACATTATATTGACTTTACGGTAGGGGTTCTTGACCTTGGGTCCATGGGGTAGGTCCTGAGGGTTCGTGGAGAGTCCATTGAAAATTAAATCCCTGTATATAATTGAAGGTAGCTCCCGAAGAGCATAATTTATAATCACAAATACAGGTGTTCCAACAGGTGTTTCTGATAACCGGGGAGGGGGGAGCCATGGGTAATACTTGAGGATTTGGGGGGCTCGTAGGTGCAAAAAGGTTAAGACAATTCGAAGCACATAACGTTGAATCAACATTGAATAAACGTTCGGAACGTTGATACAATGCTGGTCCAACGTACCCTTGTTTGCTGTACCCTTGTTCGTTTACTGGGAAGTTCCTGTTAAAGCTGGACGTGATTTGTGAGGCAATTCGCATTGGTGAATACAGTTTTCCGGTACGACTCTTTGTGATGAAGGTAAGTCTACCCCATTCCCAACTCCAAATAATCGGCAGTACCATATACAATTCCAACACTTCCTTCTTGGAAATAGTAGAATAAGAGTAACAATAAATCTTTCGTCTGTATCTTGGACATGTGATAACACTGAGATGACCATCCATGGAGTATGGCGACCTCCTGTCTGCCATGTGTCATGTGAAGTACACCTCTTCCCGATGCAATCTTTTTCGTCCAATCCCTGTGCTTCCTTGCCATTTCGACGAGAAATCCTTAGGGTGGAACAGATTATTATGTGATGACAGAACTACCTCCCCAGGCATCCACCGGAGGCCCTGGCTTCCATTCTGCTTCCATCTCGTCTCAGCAGGGGCTGGATGAGTGTACAGAGAAGTGCAAGTCGAAACAACATGGCCAGATAATATCCGCTGCCATCCAAACTGGATCCCAAGAGGAGGCTGCCGCATATATGGTGTGGCTATGTAAAAATTTCCACCAGGTTTGAATTTTTTGTTCTTCAAAGAAAGTCAAAAGTTTTACTAAATTATCATTACTGAATGGGTAAAAAGAAAAAAAAAACACATGTTAACCCAGTACCTCCTTTCTTATACATGCAAACCTCCCCCACATGTTACCCAAGACCCTAAACACAGCCACTGCGGTACAGAATAGTGTTGAAAAGTGCATCCTTTTTATTTTAAAGAGTTTTCCCATATTAAATTGCATGTGCTTCTTTGTTTTTGTTCTTGTTTTTTTTACTCACTGCTTGCAAAAAGGACGTATAAGTCAATATATAGGCCTCAATGCTGGTGATGTTTGTGCATATGTTTATATTGGGAATACTAAACAGATGTGTAGACCTTGCTTTGTTTAGGCCTAAGCCTTGCACCCAACACCCATTTCTGTCCCTTGCTTATGCCATGCCAGTGAATCTCTCCCTCTAACCCCTTGCCACTCTCTTTCAGTAATTTCAAATACTGCCTGCTTAAATGCAAGCCAGCATGAATCCTCTGAATGTGGGAATAATTTCAAGGGTCACATTTTAAATCTGAATCAGGGGGAAAGAATAAAAAAATATCCAAATGGTTAAGGCATGTTAGCCTACTGCATAGAAAGCAGAGCATGATATGCATAACTGGCTCATGACAATAGTTGCATTTGACACAAGGTACTTCTTTCACTCTGGCACTTTCTAACTTCCCATGTTCCTTTTTCTGTTTGCTCTTCCCTTTAACCCTATCCCATGCAGTTCATACTGCAGCCTTGTATGATTAGGTCTTCCACAAATTTTAACAACTGCCAAATATTCACAAATTCAAGTGTTGGGCTGTTAGTTTGCCATGATTTTTGAATGAGTTCACACACCCATGTAATGCTAACCATTCTTTTCTGTGGGCCTAACTATGTCAGTGTAGCTAACATTTCATCTGGTCATACATATAATGTGGACTGGTATCTGACAGATGTCCCTGGCATTGAAACACCAGTAGCACTTTGTGTTTACCATATGACCAAACCATGGGTATAGAACCTTTCCATCCTGCTTATATGCTCAATTTCCTGAGTCTGCTGTTACCTACAGTCTATGCCTCTAGATGTACCATGACTGTTCCTCCATGTTCCATGAATGTTGCCCAGGTCTTGGATGATGTTGGGAGGAATGCCTTGCATGTGGCAGCCAGTGTAGGGAAGAGCCATCTCACCCTCTGGCTCCTCAAGTCACCTGATGTCCAAGTCAATGGGAAGGACCTGGAGTCTGGTTACTCTGCTCTCCATCGCAGTCTCTTCTATGGTCATATTCCTGTTGCCATTGCTCTCCTCAAGGTGTGTCAATGGTATTCCAGTTTGTATATTTCTCTTGCTTGAAGTTGGAAGGATTTTTTTTTTTTCAGAATGGAGCACGATTGACCCAGACTGATCGTGATGGTCTGACTGCATTGGATCATGTCCTTTTTGATCGGCCTCCCATTGTTGATCTTTCAGTGTACTCTATCTCTGAACTCTACATCTGGGGCACAAATGCCAATTATAATCTGGGCACAGGAGCCACAGCCTCAAAGGAACAACCAGACATCTTTGACTTTTTCAGGAGAGATTCTGTTCAGATTTCTTCTGTGAGCTGGCTTTCCTTAAATTGCCTATTGTTAGATGGAATATGATGTAGGTACTGTTCAGTGGCTAATGCTCCCTGACCGATCTTGTGCCAGGTTTCCATGAGTGAGTACCACACTCTGTTCCTTACAAAGGGAGGACAGGTTTATAGCTGTGGTCACGGTCTTGGAGGACGGCTGGGTTTTGGAACTGAGGAGAGTCAATTGACGCCAAAATTGATCCAGTGCTTTGTGGAGAGTGATTCATGCATTGCCATTGCCTCTGGCTCTGATCATTCACTCTTCCTTACTCAGAATCACAATGTGAGTCATGGAGCATTGCTTATCCAGGCATTTCATTTTTCCCTTTTGTGAAGCCCTTACACTTAATCTTATTTGACAGGTCTGGAGTTGTGGGAGCAACAGATATGGGCAACTTGGACATTACTTAAGTCCCACTGATCGCCTGTTGAATCCAAAAGTGATATCCCTTAAATGGCCAAATGAACCAATCCAGGGAATTGCTTGTGGTCCCTCTCATTCTGTGTTCTACTCCTCTACACACCTCTTCACATGTGGTGTGAATTCAGGGCAACTTGGTCACTTGCAAGGAAGTGATACAATCAATGCACCCAAGCTGGTTAGACTCACAATTGCATTCATGTGAGTGTGACACACTGCATGAAAATTTACCAAGCTACTGTATTTATTGTTGCAGGTGACATGTTTAAATATTTCTGAGAAGTACAAGGTTGAATATGTGGCTGCAAGTGAAGGAGCAACAATTGTATTGGCTACAGATCATTCTACTGGAGTATCAGATGTCTTCATTCTCAACGATTACCAGTGCCGAAAGTTAGCCTCCAAGTAAGATTACTGATCCTAATCATGTGTCTGAGATTGTAGTCCTACCAATTGAACTAACCAAGCATAGCAGATAATAAAAGCATTAGCAGATGCGATGTGATATTTTTTTTGCAGGTACAGTGATGTGCAGAGAATTGATGTCATAGGAGGTGGTGATAAGGAGGTAATAGTTTTCATTCTGGCACAAAATGGTTGTCTTTTCATATGGAGAGGCTATAATCCCACATTGACTAAGTCAGTTTCATCTTCCACATGTACTCATTCATTGCCATTGCCCTCCATCCTGAGACTTCAGTTATCCATTGCAGATGCTCCTTCAATCTTCAAAAGGACATCTTTGTTGTGGACCTGGCACTCAGTCGACATTCTGTTCTTGTTGTCACAAGACAGGGTGAGGCCTACTCTGCATGCTGGAGCACCAAGAGTAAGTATGGAAAAACTCACATGGTCATACAAATACACTCCAACAGCATTATGAATCATGATTTCAGAATGAGTATTCTTGCACCTCCTAGAGAGTTCCCATGCACAGACACAGACCAAGAAGACAGGGAAGGGAAGGTTAAAAGACATAGATGGGGAGACTGAGGTTCTCCGCACAAATCGTGTCCCTTTCATTCAGCGAGGAATTCGAGTCTTTTGTGATCCAAAAGGCAATAACTTTGCTCTTCTTCAGGTTGGATAAGCCCTGTCCTTATAGCACTGACTAAATTTAGTGCTACCTTGGAAAGAGCTGTAGTTGCTAATGGGGCTTATTGTTGAAGGTGCACCCCAAAGAGAGCCTCACTGATGTGCCTTCAGTTTCTCCATCTGCAATGAAAGAAGATATGGAATTCCTTTTGAAGAATGCAGAGGAGTTGGTTTCAGATGTCACTCTGATTGTGAGTATTTTCCTTGTTATCAATGATCTGTCTCCACATTGTTTCAAGAAGAGCAAAGGGTAATAAGTTTTTTGGTAGGTAGGGGGGAAGAGATTTCCAGCACATCGCTTGATCCTGAAGGAGCGTTGTGAGTATTTCCGGAACCAGTCCAAAATTGACTCTGGTGACACCATCAATCTGGATGGGATCAGTCCTCAGATATTCTCTCACATTCTTCATTACATCTATACAGGGGAGACTCCGTTCCTTTCTCCAGGGTCTCCCATGTAAGCAAGGCTCTTGTGAGGTAGCATATGTAACTACAGAAGATTCTTGACTTCTTCAAATGTTTGAACAGGTCAAAGGATCCATTACCTTTGACCAAGGAGGCTGCCAAACGGCTTCATCTTAAGCCATTGATCAAGTACTTGGAATCATTGAAGTGGAATAAGGGGCATATCATCTCCCCTCTTGCAGGACCTCCTCGTAAGTCCAACCACTTTTTGAATCGCTTTGAAATTTTCATTCCATGACACTCCCAAGGTTGAATTTTGACATATCACTCAGGTGGCTCCTTGGCTTCACAACTCCAGTTTTCACGCACTTCTTGGCCTTGTGTTGTGGATGTGACTCTGATGAGCCAGGATGGAAAGGAGCTCCCATGTCACAAGTGCATTCTCATGGCTCGGTCTGAATACTTCCGCAATATGTTCGCCTTGAACTGGCGGGAGAGCCATGGCATGGAGAAGGTTCCCATTGCTATTCCTGTAGAGATCCTTGAATTTCTTCTTGATTATTTATATCAGGACTCTGTTCCCCACACTAAAAGGGCCAACGACATCACATTCCTTGCACAAGTTCTTCTTGTGGCCGATCAACTCCTTCTACATCGACTCAAGGCAAGCCCCTGTAGACACATAGATGTATCAATGAAGAAAGTTTATAGTCTATGAATTGGAATTGTTGACTCTTGAGAAACAATGGCACAGAGTAGCTGAATTCTGTTGAGATCCATATTTCAACAGAATTCAGAATCTCAACTGCTATATCTCATTCCAAAGGATGAGAGATGGCAAAACTGAGCCAGACGCAATAATGTCGACATTTTAAGATTCTGTTTACCAGAGACCATATTTGTAGTCATCTTGCCTTATTGTTTTTTCAATTCCTTTTTCCTTTTTTTTTTTATTTCCACCAGTTGACTCATGATATTCATGAGAATATTTACTGTCTTTGGAAAAATATTTTTTTGGTAGAATGTGATTGCATTTAATGCTTTGTTATGGCTATGGCAATCAGGAAAGTAGATAGAAGTCTCTTTTCTGAAAGATCTTTATCAATGGAGTACTAAATTGAGGCCACAATTTCAACTGGAAGAGGATAGTTAAAAAATATATATATATTTTGCTCTGAGAAGCTCTCCATCATGAGGTGTTTTTGAGTTTTGTGGTATGCAAATACTGATGCAGGAGGAGTGTGAGGTGTCCCTTGTGGATATGATGACCCTTAAGAATGCCCCTGATATCCTAGACTTAGCTCTCATGTGCAATGCCCCTGGGCTCAAGGATGCAGTCTTTCAGTTCATCTCACTCAACCTTGCCTCTTTTCTTGACGCCAGGTCTCTTTTTCATGAATCCTTAAACCAATGAGATTGAAGGACAATGGATGACTGATTTCCTTATCTTTATTGAAGATCCCTGGAAGAATGCAGTGAGGAAGCACTGGAAGGCCTGGCTGCATATTATCGTTCTTTGCTGCCATGCATGTCAAGGCGCATCCTCACACCTCCTGCCTGGCGACTGGGTCTCGCTTCAACCGCAGAACTTGCTGACATTGCTCAGGAGAGCCCACAGGATCTTTCTGATTTTCAAATGTCACCTAACACCAGAACCACTGCTTTATCTCGTACAAGAAAAGCTGCCAAGAAGAGTAAGAGAGAGCGAAAGAGAACTTCCAGTGGCAAGCTATCCTCAACCTTGGATGGTACACTTGATGGAGGGGAAAATCAGGAGGGTGAAAAAGATGTCCAAATGTGTGGCAAAGAAGAAACAAGGCAAGAGGAAGAAAAAAAAGACATGATGGGAAGTGGGTTGGGGAAAGGAGTGCGTGTGATCCCACCTCCACCAAGTCCTCGACCTATGCTCTTCCATGACCAAGACTTCCCTTCACTTGGAGATATGGCCCACTCCCCTCCGTATGGCCATCTCACTTTCTCTAACCCCTGGGGGGCAATCCTAAAAGGGAGTTTATGCAGAGCATACATGGAGTGAGGCCTGCTTACAGGGATATCTTAGGGCAACATAAATTGGCAATATCTTCTGGCCTGGGAGTCCTCCCAAGGCAGTTAGATCTGTTCCTGCTCCTTTCCTAACTTAATCTTCATGGTGGGGACAGCCACCTTTCAATGTCACAGTCAATGTACTGTCCTTATTATAAGTACAAGAAGCCTTTTTTTATCATTTGGGTAAGTTTTTCCTACTGGGAAAGGAAATTTTGCAGAAGCACTCACATAGATGGAACACAATGTTTTTGCATGCATCCCTCTAAAATGTAAAGATCTAGCATAAAGCCATTACCTTTTGTGAGAAAGGATCTAAATTTGGAGAGATTCAGAATGCCTATTTACCAGTTGTCTGAAGTGAGAGACAAAAGTGTCTATAGGAGTTTTCCTTATTTATGGTTTTTAACTAACATCAGAAGGAATGTGGAGAGCTGAAAGAATGAGAGTTTGAGTCCCTTCTTTGAATTAAAAATATAGGCTTTTTGCATTGTTTTATCTGCACTCAAGAGCTACTAACTGCCTGAAAAGCCTGCATTATCTTGAATGCAAAATCAAAACTCCCATCTTGATAGAATGCACTCCTCTCAATTTCATAATGGGTTTCAGTAAAGAATGAGCAGATGCAGAGTAGCTCATAGCATGTCATGTAGAGCAGAAACATCTGTCTAAGAGTAGAAAGGAAGGAGAAATGGTAACTATGCCCACCCTCTGACTCTCATAGTGCCTGATGCCTACCATACGAGGTCTGACCAAAAAGTTCTAAGACTTTATTTAAAGAAAAAAAAGTATGGTACGTACAGCATTCTTGCAAGTGGATCCCTTCAAAGTAGTCTCCCCCTGATGATATACAAGTGTCCCAACGTTCCTGCCACTTCTTGAAGCATTGCTGGAAGTCTTCAACTGTGAGCCTGTCGAGTTCTGCTTTCACATTCTGTTGGATGATTGGGATGTCATCAAATCTTCATCCCTTGAGCTTCATTTTAAATTTGGGAAGAGGAAAAAGTCACAAGGGGCAAGATCAGGTGAATATGGAGGGTGAGGTACAACAGGAATTTTTTTTGGCCAAAAACTCTTGAATGGAGAGGGCGGTTTGTGCAGGAGCATTGTCATGGTGGAGAAACCATCCACCCTTTTCAAACAGCTGGGGGCGTTTTCTTCGAACTTTTTCCCTAAATTGAATTAGAACAGCTTCATAATAGGCCCGGTTTACCGTCTGACCAGTTGAAACAAATTCGTAGTGCATGATGCCCTGAATGTAAAAAAAAACTATCAACATTGTTTTCACATTTGACCGAACCTGTTGCACTTTTTTAGGATGGGGCGAGTTTGGTAACTTCCACTGGGACAACTGGAATTTTGTCTTGGGGTCATAACCGTACACCCTTGTTTCATCACCAGTCACAATGCAATTGATGAAATTAGGGTCCATTTCCACCCTTCTTTTCAGCTCCTTGCACAGTTCTTGACGGTGGACCTTTTGGTCATCTGTCAACAATCTTGGAACTAATTTTGCAGACACTCAATGCATGCCAAGATTGTCAGTCAAAATTGTCTGGCACAATCCAAAGGAGATCCCCAGTTCATCAGCAATTTCTCGAATGGTCAATCGCTGATCAGAACTAATTGTTTAATTCACTTTAGCAACAATTTCATCATTGCATGATGTTGAAGGTTGACCTGAACGTGGGTCATCTTCAGCGGATTCTTGGCCATCTTGGAACCAATTTATCCACTGATAAACAACAGCCTTACTTAAACAAGCATCACCAAATGCAGTTCTTAACATTCTGAGAATCTCCGCTCCATTTTTCCCATTCTTCACACAAAACTTGATGCACATGCGTTGTTCTTTTGTATCCATTACGATTGTGACAGGACCAAGACACGTCTCACCTTGAACAAGCTCTACTCAGCACTGGTTTGGTGGAGGCGGAAGCGACTCAACCCAGACATATAATGACTCCTCCCCTATGTTGACTCATCATTTTGGTGCACTACCTCTACTGCTTCTTTTGTAATACATAAAGTCTTAGAACTTTATGATCAGACCTCGTAAACTTTCTTCTGAGACTCAATAGCATGCAATTCAAGGTGTCTTGAGGAGATAATCTGGGTTCATGTATTACTTTAGTTCTAGTGAGAATCTCTACTTTGGAGTAATGCTGGAGCCCAAACTTCAGGATCATTGGGCCACAAAGGCAGTGGGTTGTGCCAATTGTGGGCCTTCACAAACCCATGAGCTGCTTCCCAAGCAGAGGTTTGCATATGTTGGATCACAACCCACTACATTTTGGAAGGTTCAGTGTGAGTGAGAGAAAGGTTGGGAACCACTAGATGGATTTTTCATGAAGTAGCTGCCTGTGAACTGCAACATTAAGATCATGAGCTAGCCTCTCCAGATTTTTCATCCATGAACTGCTTCTATGGGAGATAGAGGCTTAGATTGCTTTTATTGAGTGTAGAGTAATAAATTTTTCCTGTAACTTTCTGACAGAAAGCAACAAGGAATAATCTCTTGAAAGTTAGTTGATGTTCCATATGTTAACTTAGCTGTCTGAATGGGATGGTCTGCCCCAAGGCCTCCTCCTAGAACATAGAGGGTGTCCCTGCCTAAGAGACTGCGATCTTGGTTGTGGTGTCTGCCAAGTAGGCACCCCTTTCCTCTTTATGCAATGTAGTATGTCCATTGTTGTGTGTCCACCACATGTTCTATTTTGTTTGCAAAATAATCAAGGTGGTTTATTCTTCCTGTCTTTTCTCTCATTTCCAGTATGTTATTGTCTTTTCACAAGTTTCCTCACAGGCCTCACAAAACACCCCTTGGGCTGCACTTTGGGCACTGCTGGAGTAACGGATGTGTTAATTAGAACACTAATGTATTTTGCAAACTGGCTGCACACTTCTTTCACCCTCAAAGCATCTTTTGACTGTAGAGAAACAAATCATTACCATTTTAATCTTGATCTTCTATTCAAGCTAGTGAGCTGAGATACATTAGGAAGGGAAGAATATTCAATGTTGATTATAATTGTTTATGGAGGAGGCAGGGAGGAGAAAGGGAAGGGGAAAATGAAGAGGATGGAGCGAGGAATTAAGGTGAATTTGTGGACCTTGTCAACTGAAGAAGAGCCAGAACAAGCAGATGCTAAATCTCCTGCCTCACCACTCGTCACCCCCTCGTTAGTCTTTCTCCGCTCCATTTATGTCTCCCCTGGAATGAACAGGGATGAGGTCTGACTGTAGAGAATGATCATTTTATGCAAGAACAGGTGGGCCTCCATGAAGGAAACAGTGCAGGAGATGAGCTTCTCACAGATCCTTGCAGAAGAGGAAATGATGCAGCAAAAGCTGAATCGCACTCTCTCCAAACCCCTCTCCCTGATTCAGGTCCTTTCTCATTCAATTTCTTGGCTGAAAATTTCTATATTCTTGTGTATATTTTTTTGCCCATTGAATTTTTCTTTTCATATTCACTTTTCCTTAATTCTTCACATTTTGCTCCATGCAAAAGTCTTGGCTTTTTGGCCCCATTTTAACACTAGGTCACCACTTTCTGTCTTTGCAAGTGAATACCTGATCATGCAACAATTAAGAGATACAGTTGTAAACTACATCAGTAATACCCTCAGTATGCAATTCTAATTCAGCAAACTTCAGTGCAATTATCAAATTAATCTGCCTGTGCATGGACAAGGAAGGGAACAGCATTGTATTTTGCAAGAAGTTTAAATTACTTGCATTGAATGAATGTTTCTTGAATCCAGTCAAGATATCATGTTGAATATTTCACATTCATATTTCAAGTTCACCAGAAGTTCCATGACATCTGTGCAGGGATGTGTCAACATGTCTGGTCTAAGCTCACAAGAAATAGAGTAATAGCAATCACACTTGGTACTTCACTTTTGCCAATTTGTCGGTAACGAGAAACCCCCAGGCACCCCCAAAAGGTGAATGAGCAATTGAGCAGTCAGCTATGTATCTCTATTCCATTTTTTTTTCAATCATCTATTCATAATGTCTCGATCGATGGCCTGGAGTTCCATAGGTGACCAATAAATAACTCCAAAGCTGTAGTTGAAGACAGGTGGTGAGACTGTTGAGGGCAGCGATCTTATTTTTGCCAGACAGCTTGGTCTTCAGTACGAGGCAGACTCTGCGTTTGCATTCAGTCGTCAGTCTCTGCTTCATGCGCTTGACAGCCACGGAGGAGTTCTCTTCCACACTGAGGTATTTATAGGTGTCAGGGGCCATAAGCTCTTGGAGGTGTTTGCAGTTGGTGGTGGTGATATCTCCCATAGGGGTGAGGATTCCGCAGTGGATAGAGAGCTTCACGTACTTGTCGAGTCCGAATAATATATATATATATATATATGCAGAGCCCGCCAAAAACTGTATCCACACTTCAGGAAAAGAAAAACTTGTATAAATATTTTAATATTAAGTTTATTCAGACATCATGAGATTAATACAAGTTACCTTTGGCCTCTACAATTACAAGAGGTGCTCAAAGTGGTGGCCATTAGCTTCCAGACATTTATTAGTACGGCAAACTGCTGCTTGGGCAACCTTGGCCAAAGTGTCCAGTGGGATTATGCTCAAAGCGGTGGCCATTAGCTTCCAGACATTTATTAGTACGGCGAACTGCTGCTTGGGCAACCTTGGCCAAAGTGTCCAGTGGGATTGCTGCACATGCATTTTCAATTTCTTCTCTAAGGGCCGTCAGTGTAGTTGGTTTTCTGCGATATACGACATCCTTTAGGGTCCCCATAGGTAAAGGTCTACAGGTGTTAAATCAGGAGAACGTGCGGGAACTCAACTCCACCTCTTCGTCCTAGCCGGTGTCCTTGCAAAATGCACATGCATTTTCAATTTCTTTCGAAGTTTGATCAAATTACGATAACACTGTGCACTGTGTACTTATCTGGATGAGAATTTGCAAGGACACTGGCTAGGACGAAGAGGTGCAGTTGAGTTCCCCGCACGTTCTCCTGATTTAACACCTGCAGACTTTTAGACTTGGTTTCCTGAGGGCATTAAAATATTGTCCACGAAATAGGTAAAATCTATATGACTGATAGTCGTGCATGGTGATAAATAATTCATAACATCAAAATAATAATACAAATATTTCAATTTCTGCGTCTTACTCCTGGAACTCTTCCATTTCACCGAGTTCTCATAGCAGAGGGGCTGATGTGGGAAGGTAATCGCGATCCACAACAAGAAAGGACGTGACAATTACTTTTTATTACATGCAGCATTGCATGATTTGTTTGAGTGTAAGTTAGCGGTGATCAGATTATTTTTTCTCGGTTTTGCTAGAACGAAATTTTCGTATTCACTTGACCTTTCTGCTGTTTTAGGGACTTGTTGATGGAAAGCTGTCAGCTTATTGGGTTTTGAATTGCTGCATAGAACGGATCGATGCAATAATGATTTGTCTCATTTCAACTATTACCCTATTGAGTTCTATGGCATTGGTTCAACAAATGCTTTTAACATCAACTGAAGCCTACAATGAAGCCTGTACTGAAGTCAATATGAGTCCTCGAACTACGATGGCTGTCCGCGTGAGCACTCAAAGAGTTCCCCTAATGCTCTCAAAAAGACGAAAATACTCAGGTTGCCTCCCTTCCTTTGACTTGCTTTCGAATTAAGGGCGCCTGGAAATATCAGCTGTCCATTAATCGCCTCAAACCTTTAGCGATTTCATCTATTTAAAGAATCCCAAAGAATGTCAACGTCCTGGAACCGTCTTCACACTTTGTTTCGAGTATACATGGTGTTTCCCCTACAGCATATGTTCAGTGTCGTACGCCGTATCAATCAATTCGGCTGCCTTCACTGACCCGTAATGTGTGTAATGAAAAGTTTGGCACAATGAGTGAATGAGTGGGAAGCATTTGATTCTTCGGAAGAAACGAGAGTAAGGGACCATGATAGGCCTGGAGTTTCTTTATGAGTGTAGGGCAGTGCTTCTCAGCCTTTTTCAATTAACGGCACAATTTCGAGTTTGCTCGATCCTCGCGGCACACAGACCACAAAATTTCGCAAAGTCATTGTATAGAATATTCTCATCATCCACTAGTCAATGAAAGGAAAAAAATAGCCTTTTCCACATGGAGAGAACAAATTATGACCAACTAGTGCATTTAAAATCATTTTAATGTTAATATTTCATTTCGTTAACAAAATATTTCAAACAAATTTAATGTAAGCTTTATTATGAAAGACACTTATTACATCCAACCTATAAACGTATTCTTTTTCAAAACACTTCTCTCAAATACTTCTCGTATGACATTAAGGATTAAAGGACAGTCAAATTTTTCATTTAAAGCAGTTCCCACAAGCAATCGGAGAAACTGAAGACCCGAACATACATTTCACACTAGTGAGACACTTGCGCCTGTCTTGAGGAACAGTGGCGCCTAATGCTATGCTAGAAAGAGCTACACGAAGTTCCTCATCCAGGCTCTTTAGACATGACCTCTTTCGTTCTTGATGAGGGTCAACGTTGAGAAGCTCTCTTCACAGAGATATGTTGTTGAAAATGGTAGCAACACATCATTGGCGCGACCAGAGATGGTTGGGTACTCGTTTCTCACTTGCAACCACAGGCACCTCGCTGAACCTGAATTTGAGAGCGCAGTCGCTCCTAAGGTCTAGAAATTCCTCTCGCGCATTCAGAGAAAGTTCCTCCACTGATTCCTCCGCGGAAGAAGCAAATGGATTGCGAACCCAATCATACTGCTCCATGCTAGTCGACTTGAAATAGTGCTTAAACTTGTCGTGAAGCATGCCACGACATTCAGCAGCTTTCTTTAGGATGCGTGTTACTGGTCCGTTTGAACATGTCCAGTGAACAGCGTCCTATTTTTTCTCTCCAAAGTTGAAGTTTTGATTTGAACGCATTTAGCTTGTCCGTACATGTAAGCACGTTCTCACCACGTCTTTGCATTCTCCTATTCACTTCGTTAAGATGCTCAAAGATGTCTGCCATGTATGGTAGTTTTTCCAGCCAGTAATTGTCTTGTAAGAAACTAGCATATTGCAATTCGTGGTGTAAAATTAAAAATTGCTTAAAAGTTAAGCAACTGCTGTTCCTCGTTCCTTAGCTCAAAAATGCATGACAGGACCTCGCCTTGCTAAATCCAGCAAACCTCTGTGTGAAGAAGTTGGGATTGGTGTACTGCTCCCATCTCCTCACAAAATAGGGGAGACTCAAGAGGTCTTGACTTGATGAAGTTGACGATTTTCACAGCTTCAGCCAAAATTGACTTCAGCTCATCCGCAAGGCTGTTTGCCATGAGAGTTTCGCTATGGAGAAAACAGGGTGTGATTTCAACATTTGCGTTTCGATTTTGCACCTTCGACACGAACCCTTTGACATTTTCTGTCATTGCAGGTGCTCCATCGGTGCAAACACTTGTGCAGTTTTCCCACTGGATCCCGTTGCTTTTCAGGTACTCATCCGTGACGCGGAATATTTCATCGCCAGTTGCACGCTGAGTAATTTCTTTGCAGGAAAGATAATGATCTTTAAGGCAGCCCTCACCAACAAGGCGCACAATGGCGATGAGTTGTGCGCAGTTGCCTATGTCTGTTGACTCATCAAATTGAAGTGAAAATTTCCCAGCTGTTCGCAGTTTCTCTACCAGTTACTTCTGTCACGCGACATGTCTTCAATGCGTCTTCTGATGGTATCGTTAAGAAAGCGGCACTCTGGCCACCTCCTTCAGTGCCTCAGGTCCTATCATAGCCCGTATAATTTTTTGGCACGCTGGTAGAATAAGTGTTTCACCGATGGTATGGGTTTTTTTCGGTTTGGCAGTTATCTTTGCAACATTGTAGCTGCCCTATTGCGCCCTGTCAGAAACTTTCGCGCAGGCTTTCATGAAGGAATTTTGCTTCAAGTTCTGCTCCTGCAGCGGCTTGAAGTAACCGATGTCCTTGTCGAGGTAAGAAGGATGTTTAGTTGGAAGGAGACGTTTTGATTTGCTCAGAACCATCGCTTCGTTTGATAGTTTCTCCCTACAAATGAGGCTCTCATGTCTTGGTGATGTTGCATCTCCAAACCACGAAAAACCGCACGCCAAGTATCCATCGTTGTACTGCCTATTCAGCGTCTTTGCCTTTTTACTTGCAAGTTCATCTGTTTCAGTACACTGAGGCACAGACATAACTGCTGATGAGCCTTCTCCGATTAAGACTGTCCATGTTGCACTTAATCCTTCCCGAATAAAAAAACTTCAAAAGCAATACCCCGAAAACTCCTAAACCCTGGCACAGGGCACTAAGTACTAAGTACAAACGCACGTGCATCCACAGAATAAAACGTTTGCTCAGTACACTCGCCGCTTGTGGCTGTTGCATTTTGAATTACTCACTCGTGACCACGTGAACTGAGAAGCTACTGAACGGTACGAACGTTCGTCGGTGGTATAGTCTGTCCACCGGCAAAAGACACGCTTGGACTAGGACAAAATATTTGATGGATGAGGTGGTGAAAGGCAAGATGTGAAAGGAGATTTGTATATATCGCTTCCGTCGCGTCATTGGGACATTAAATGTTTATGACATGTGTTGTCAAGGGAAGCACAATTCTTTTCTATCAGCTGAGAGGGATCCTTTGGGATAGACATGAGTTAATGTCCTGATTTGACGAAGGAAAGTCGGCAACCCTGATATTCAAGGAGATTACCTCCATTCCCTGTGTCTCAAGTGAGAAGATTAAGTGATACTTAATGACCAAAGCTCCCGTTTGACCTGTCACATCGAAGCCGCAAGTGAGTCTTTTGCTGGTGAATAGACTTGAGAATAACAAAATAGGAATTTCCTTTCCTTTCCTACAATTCCGGAAATTATATCGCGGCACAACAGGGACCTTGTCGCGGCACACCAGAGCGCCGCGGTACACCGGTTGAAAAGCACAGGTTTGGAATGAAGTCGTCAGCCCGTTTAACACGAACCCATTCATATCAAATCAATTTGAAGTGACTTTTCAGTTACCCTCACATGCGCATCAACAAGAAAAAAAAATGCTTTGTGGACTGAGAAAAATGCTCACGTTGTGATCCGATCAGAACCTCACAATAACAAAGCGACTCCTTAGTGTAACTTTACAGCGACCACCACTATCGAATTAAGCTTCTTTCAGGAATCTGATCCTGATGAATTTCATTTGGCGACCGTCAATGGCCTATGCTGCATACACATATTTCGAGAATTTGCGATTCCCGAACTTTGAACCAAGCAGTGTGGGAACCAGATCATCCTACACTCTTATTTTAAAAAAAGTCAGCAAATTCAAAGAAAGGAGCGAAACTGGATTTAGCGATTTTACTCTCTAAAAATCATGAAGAACAATCGATAACTACTCCTACATGAGCAGAATCCATAACTTTTTTAAGAGGAAGAAACGAAGGAAGGAGAGTACTTTTTGAAACTAGTAGAAAAAAGTTAATGGTTATTCTCAGGAAAGAGAGAGATGAACGGCATTACCTCATTGATTTTAGGGAGTAAAATGGATAACTCCAGTATCGCCCCCTTTCTCAGATATCACTCACTCTTTTCTAAGAGTGTACCTATACCCGTTGTGAGGCAAAAGCAATTCGCGATAATATTGGACAAACAGAAATCCAATTCCACTTTCAGTTTGCACATTGTCATGAAGTTTAAACTGTTGCGAGTAGAAGCTTATATTTTCCCATGTCTCACGTCTACAGGCGAAGTCTAATTTGAAGGCTTCAAGTGGCCATACTTTTTTTTTTAGCGATTTCTAAATGTTGGTTCTACTTGCCTTGAGTGGCTCGAAAGGTTTTAATTCCCAGTGAATAAAAGTTAGGGAATGCAAAACTCTCTAGGGGAGATTTTTAATTTCCGAATTTAGAAACACAATCCCATATACACAATCACATTTGCACACTGCCTCCGACGATTGCGACTGAATGGGAGATGTCCCGTACCTTCCAAATGTCGGCGATGATAGCTGCTCTTCGCAGGTGATTCGCACTTCCGTGCGTGACCCATGTGACATCCTCGTGCTTGGATGAGGACAGAAGAGATCCCATGACCGCATCTTGAACTCTCACGTACTCTGAATCATCGTTCTTGCCCGACTTCTCCAGGAGATCCCGGTTAGGACTGCGTTGAACGACCTGCTTGTGCAATGGCAAAGACTATCTTCTGGTCGTCGAGTAAATTATTGGTCAGTGGAGAGATGAGTGGTTTTCCTTCTCCGGTTTTCACTTTACCTGAAGGGTTTTACGTTTTTTGAAAGTGCTTCAAAAAATGTGAGAAATAACGGTACATTCTTGCAGGTTTCTCTTTCGTGATGTTTAATCTGGAAAATTAATACCAATTTAAATTTAAATTTATTTATTTTTCCTAAGATTTTTACTTTTTGCTTTTTCATCTTTCAAAGTATGCTGCGGGAATTGATGAACATGTTACCTTCTCTGGTCGGGCTTTCTTGGCAATGCAGGCGTAGGCATCCACGCTCACGTCAGCAACGATGAACATCAAACAAATTATGGCGTGAACGACGCAGCTGAGAAGCAGCACCTTCATCCGACGATCTCTCACCTGTCTAAGGGTTCGCCTACAACATAAGACATTGTCAGAAGTCGCTTTGGGTGCTGCGTGCACCTTTGCCATTGGATTTCTCTTACTTTGGTAGAATGGTATATTTCCGTTCGAAGTTGCTTGTTTTCGAAATATAGCTTTTGATGGAGAAGTACGACAACACCTAGGAAAAGAATATGGATTATTTGTCATAATCCAACGAGTTACACTAGAACTCACATTGATATGATGGTTCGTAAACGAGATTAACTGAATTTGAGAGTAGGATTTTTCTGCAAGTGATTTCACTCGCAAAATGTAACACAGTAAGCAGTGCTGCTTCATATGAATTAGCAGAGAAGTAAAAATGTTTAAGGACGAAGATGTAAAAGCAAGAAACTCGAAAAGAAAAATGGGCAAAAATATATAATAATAATAGGAAAAGAACAGGAAATGGAAAAGTCAGAGTTAGTCAATCAGTCATCAAGCCAGAGAAACATGACTCCCAGCCGCAATTCCCGAAGAATTTATTCGGTCCTAGCTGCAATTGTCCTATATCACCAATAATCAATTATTACTATTTCAAATATCTACTCAACCCGGTAGGTGTTGCTATGTTACGGAGATATCACACATTGCATTTCAATCGGATTGTTGATCACGGACTGCTGCTCTTGTGTATCGTGACCATGGTCCTCTTTTCAAGGTTTCCTGAGTAGCCCTCCCCATTTTCCTTCTGACATTTTTCGTTCTCCACTGGAACTCCAAATTAACACACAACTGCCTTCCTCAGTTGCTAGTATTAAAAATTAAATACAAGAATCTTGGATCTGTCAACGCCGAGTCGTCAGAAAACGTTCTCTTCAACAGGACGAGCGTGACTCGAAATTCCTCTCGATTAAAATGACTTTTTGAGAGAATATTTCCGAGAATATATATCAGTTGCAACAAAAAGTCAGATGCATTTCCAAGGATAGTATGGAACGCTGGAATAAAGATTTCCGAATTCAGTCATCGCTTGCCCATCACAAGTACTTTTCTAGTCCTAAAAAAAAAACAGGTTTGGAAAAGCCGACGCACCCAAACGCTATGCCCGGAGGGGAAGCAACATGAAAGCTGAATACTCCCTCAACTCAATAACACCATGTCACTTATACGTGTGCCAAGTTTCACCTTTCCATTTCTGCCCAATTCGCCAGGACAAAATTTTTTTTAAAACATCGCCCCTCGAAAAAATTTCCCAGGGGATGTATCGAGACTTAACATTTTCCTTTAATTCCTTGTCTCGGTTGTCACATTCATGCAAAGTTTTAGATTTCCATGTTCATTAATTTAACTGATGCAAAAAAAAATATTTAAAAACGTCTCCCTTTGAAATTTGTGCCCTATGGGCATTTACTTCCAAAGTCTGAATTTTTCTGCAGCATCCCAATTGGTAGTGATGTACCAAGTTTCATCTTTTCCCACCAGCTCAATACGCCAGGGCAAAAAAAATTACGTGAAAACGTCGGCCCCCACAGGGCATGGATCTTAAATTTTTCATTTTTCCTGAACTCATCGTCTCGGTTGGCCGGTCCATCGCACGTTTCAGCTTTTTATGTCTCTCCGTTTTACTAAAGGAAAAATATTGCTATGAAGGGGGAATGAGTAACGCGACTGGGAAGGCATGAAAGGCCCAAAAGAAAGCCAAGGAACGGCCGAATTTAACCCGGGCCTCCTGAATGCCGGTTAGGTGTGCTACTACTACACCACCGAACCCGAGACATCCAGTCAAGTCTCTCGATGCCATCCTACTCCGTCATAATATATGTCTTTAAAAACTTCTCCCCAAAAATGTGTACCCCTAGGGCATGAACCTCCAATGTCGGATTTTTTCTGAACTCTGCTTCCAAAAAGGTGCATGTGTACGAATTTTCATGTATTTAATATATATCGACGATTGTGACTGACTGACGCAATTCTAACCATGTTCCAGAGAAGTTAGAAATCTGAAAATTCGTACAAATGTACCTTTTGGGATTCAGAAAAAATCCGACATTGGAGGTACATGCCCTGGGGGTACAGATTTTGGGAGGAGAACTTTTTAAAGATATGTAATGGGACGGATAAGGATGTCATCGAGAGATATTACTGTTTGCGCGCGTTTCAGTGGTGTAGTGGTAGCACATCTGACCAGTAATTGAAAGGCCTGGGTTCAATTCCAGGCCATTCCATGGCTTCTCTTGCCTCCATGTCCCGTTGCTTGAATACAACGGAGAGACATGAAAAGCTGAAACCTGGCATGGACGTGCCTACCGCCATGATGAGTTCAGGAAAAATGCAAAGTTTTAGATGCATGTTCTGGGTGCATATTTTTGGGGCCCAACGTTTTCAAGTATTTTTTTTTGTCCTGGCGTATTGAGTTAGTGTGGAAAGATGAAATTTGGTACGTAATTACCTATTGGGATGCTGCGTGTAGAAAAATTCAGTGTTCGGAAGGAAATGCCCTGTGACCACAAATTTCAAAGGGAGATGTTTTCACAAATTTTTTTGCATAAGTTAAACCGATGTACATGGAAAGCTGGAACTTTGCATGAATGTGACTACCGAGACAAGGAGTTAAATAAATATGTTAAGTCTCGATACATCCCCTGGGGGAAATTTCTAGAGAGGCGATGTTTTAAAAAAATAATTTGTCGTGGCGAATTGGACAGAAATGGAAAGGTGAAACTTGGCACACGTATCAGTGACGTGATATCGAGTTGAGGGAGTATTTAGCTTTCATGGTGGATCCATTCCGGGCATAGCATTTGGTGGGTCGGCTTTTCTAAACATGATTTTGCACCAGCGAAATGGCAAATGTATAACATTGAAACTTTGTGGGCTCGTAGTTCACTGAGGTTTCGGTAAAAATTGTACTTTTCGGTTAAAACACCTGAGCACATACTTTGCAAAAGGTGTATTTTCCCGAATTTTCTGATCCAGCAAAACAGAGGGCGATAGAAAGTTTAAACTTGGCGAAGAAGTACTTGGTGAATAGCTGAGTAAAGAAAACATTCTACTTTCATATTAAATATAGACGATCGTGAGTAGCTGACTGACTGACATACGTAGCTATTCACATCCTGAGCTCAGGAAAAATTCCACTTTGGTGATGCACGCCATATGGGCACACCTTTTCATATTTTCCAATAGTTCTCTTTGCTTCAATCAAACGGACACAGAGGGGAAGCTGTAACATGGCAAGAGCGTGACTGGTGAAGCACTGAGCTCATTTGTCATATGTCAAATTTCCAATATATTTTTTGGGAGCATATTTCTTGGGGACGTATCGTTTTCAAAGAATTTTTCATATCCTAGAGAATCGGGCAAAAATAGAAAAGTAGCAGTTGGCGCCGGCATAACGGACGTGATGCTGTTTTAAGGAAAAGTTCGACCTTTGTTGTGTGTCTCCTCAGAGCACAGTTTTTGGGTGGATCGTTTTCATCCTAATATGTCACGTATTTCAATGTGGACGTACTTTAAAACGTGTTTGCCATTTCGCAAAGAATAAATGAATTAATCACTATCCAAGGTAATGGAGCGCCGAAGGCGCGACCATAGCGAGTGACTGAGTGAGTGACAGACTCTGAGTGAGTGACAGAACCTGAAATTTTCAGGTTCATGCCCTGGAGGCATTTTTTTGGGGGTTGACGTTTTAACTTCTTTTCTCCTAGCACTTTGGGCAGAGATAGAAAGGTGAAACTTGATACATGAGTTGAATTCATAAATATTCAGTCATTGGAGGAAAATGCCCTGGGGGGCAAAATTTTCGGGATAGATATATAATTTTTTGCTGCAATAGAACAGATAAACATGGAAAGCTGACACTTGACACTGACGTGCCTACTGAGACTCTAAGTTAAAGAAAAATGACAAGTTTCAGATGGATGCACTAAGGGCATATTTTTGAATGGTCACGTTTTCAAAATATTTTTTGTCATTGGGAAGAAATAGAAAACTGAGACTTGGCACACAAATAACTCAGGAGATTTTGAGCTCGGAATAAGATAACAGCCCTAAGGCCACAGCTATTAACTGCGTTTCCTTTTCGATAGATTTTTTCCTGAGCAAACGGATAAGACAACCTTGGTAAGCACGTAGTTCTCCCAGTATTGATTTCTGTAAAAATGTTAATTTTTAGGCGAAACCTCTGAGGGCACATTTTTTGCAAAATCCGCTTTCCAGAATCCTTTCTGATCAAACGAAAGAGAGATCTAAAGAAAGTTGAAACTCACAGCAGAAATACCAGTTGGGTTGCTGATTGCACATCCTACATTTCAAATATGATCCCTCAGGGCAGGTTATGAAGAGCTTAAAAGTTAGGCAAGCAATAAATAGTCTAACTACTTATTTCGTGGAAAATACCGGTTTTTTCTCCCTCGGCAGACATTTTGACAGGTCCAGGTTAGTGATTCCTTAAAAAAGGAATCACTAACCAGGACAATGAAGCACCTAAGGCTCCACCACAGCGAGTTTGTTTGCTAGTAAAAATATATAATTTTAATTTTTGAGAAAACTCTTTTCCTGGAAATATATCCTGGGGATTTATCAATTTGCTCTAGGTTGTTTTGCTGCGGTAAAAGGGAAAATGAATACATTTTTAATTTCCCGAAAGTTTTGTTTTTAGCATTCAACATTTCTTAAGAATCTGCGCTGATGAATGTTGCTCAAATCAGGCTCGCGATAGCTTCACACAACCGGAAATAACTTCAAGCCACAAGGAAAAATATCCATGACCCAAGAAGTTTCACCACATTTGTACCGTGGGAAAAGGTAAGAATAAGAAGAGAATGCCTCTAAAGCTTTCGAAATTTTCTTCCAGCCAAGCACACCAAAGACGCGCAAGTTTGTTTGCTCCAAGGGCAAATAAACTCGCTAGTATCGATATGTCTACTTTGAAACAGAGTACTGCGGACATATTAGCAATATGAGAAACATCTAATCTTCATTTTTCCTTTCGTTTATTAGGTCAGCTCTTTCATGTGTGCCGATAATAGCTCATAAATTGCTCATAAATTGCAAATCCGAAGGAATTAAATCGTAACGTTCAAGATTAGAAACCGTTATGGAACCTGTTGACATCCGTAATGTGCTAAAACTATGGATCATCCTCTCATTTTTCGTAAATTATAGAGTGTCCATGAAGCAACTACCCATGGGCAAGTTTTTTTTATTCTGAATAAGGAGGAGCCTTTGTTATATTTGTGGAGCCTGTTTAGCGATCGACCTCGGAATAGTGTCACATCTTTCGTTCCTCTGCCTTAATGCAACTGAGAATTCCTTTGTCAAACACTTATTTCAATTACAGGATCAGAAATGCGGAATGCAGCATTGCGAAACGTGTAACGTGTTTACAAGGACATGGAAACAGATCTGAGAAACGTAAAAGAGAATATCTCTCGTGTTGTGTGCCAGATGAGTTACAGAATTATGGCAGATTTTTCGAATCATTCAATTGCCTTGGCTCAGGAAAGTTTTGATATCGGCGTTTTACTTTACACATTCAAACATATTTCGAGTAATTTCGTAATTCTAATGATTTTGAATAACCAAAATACTTGATTATTCAATCAGCATGATGATTACCACTAGAAGTTGATGCAATAAGGTCAAATGAGAAAACTCTCTCTGACTTTTAGTCTTAATTTATTTTCCATTCAAATGAATAAAGAAATTCCTAAAACACCAGATCTGGGGAATTAATTATCGGCTATTATAAAATTTTTAGGAGGCAAGATCTGACACTATTCCAAGGTCGATATGTTTTCAGTCTAAAACTTAAAATAGGCTACTTTAGTGTAAATAATATAACATTTACACTAAGTACTCATTTTATAGACATCCTGGGTTTCCACAGAACTCAGAACCGCATTGCTTGCCTTGGAGGAGGGGGGAGTCGATGTGGGTGCCATAATGCTGGGAATGCTCCGTAATGCTGCCTGCTACTGTCTGGATGTTACTGCCTGGATGTTACTGCGAGATGTTACTGCCTGCGAGGTCGTTCGTGTCTGCCTGAGTCAGTCTACAACAGCAGGTTTGCTGGGGAATGTCCTCCATTTGCCCGAGCGTAGGATAGATCCGCCTCTTGTGCTTTCTCACAATGCAATTCGTGATTGGCTGAACATCTGCTTCGTGCGTCAGGGGAGGGTTCGGGTAAATGCATGCAGCAAAATGCGCATTGTAAGACTTCATTAGACATGTGTTTGGGTCCTGAGAGAAGTTCCTCTCCTTGGTCCTGTAAAGAGTGTCAAGAATGTACCAAATGGCACATTCTGCGGATAAATTAATTTCAAAGGTGTACCTCGGCATCATTGACAGTCATGCAACACAACACGGTGTGTGAATGAAAACCCATTGAAAAGGTATAAGTCAATACGGTGATACCATCGTGACTAACACTACAATCGGACGCAGAGTACTGCACATGTATATCAGCTCAATCTTCTCAGCCAGTTTTCATCATTCCGTATAAATATGTTTGCATCATAAATATTCCATCTTGGACTTGCTTTTCAGCAATTCAACACACATAAACAATACAAATTTATGACAGCGGAGTTGCATGAAGCATGTGTGACCAACATAACCCTAAAAGTACAAGTCGATTCCCTAATAAAATGTTCCTCATGATTTGCTTTAAATCTGGAACTCTTCATGCAGCTAAATTTGCCATGTACCTTCACCAAGTTATGTTCTACCAATATGCAATAAAGGCCATAAGTGCAATATGTCTCTATATGAAAAGTTGAATCATTATGGACGTTCTGACTAACATAACTGTGACATAACTTCGCTCTTTTTAATCGCTGCATTGCTTTACCTTAAAATCTTTGGTCCTAAATGGAGATAGTTCCTTCGATGTTCGAAGATCTCGAAATACCAATCCCTGAACGTGCCATCAAGAGAAATTATTCGAATACCCACTCAGATTTATTACGGTGTAATTACCAAGAACGTGTTGTTTATAGCATTATTTTCCCTCTCTCATTTTTCTCGTCCAGTTGTAAGATGTTTCCCTGTATCTTGCATAAAAGGCTCTATCCTTCCACTTTCGAAACGCAATGCCACCATACCTTCATCAGCAGCAATTCGATGTACTGTATATTAGCGTCCGAAAGGAACTTTACTAGGTAATTTAGGGCTCGTACATGTAACAGGATTTGCGATGACATATTTGCATTTTACCGAACATATCCTTGCAAGAAAATTATTAGTATATGCTCGCCAACCGTTGAGTGCTGTGCAAGTGCCACGTCAGGAAAATGCCAAATTAGACTTCTCTATCACGTCAAGGTTCAGCTTTTCAGAGGTAAAATTGGCTCATTTCTGGCGTATGTCTTTCCGGCCCGAAAAAAACCACGAGAGAAATTCTAAGGCTCACGTAATATCAATTGGCCTGGGTGATCAAAATGCTCTAAGAGGAAACAACGCCAAAAATTACGTCCTCTTTTACCCTCTTGGAGCAACTTGTCAGGACACTTGACCTTGAGGGATGTAAAAGTCAAAGTCATGTGCTTCGCCAGCTATGATGAAGCTTTTTTTAAAATCCGGTATTGGCCTGCACGACCACACTTGAACAGAGGGAATTCCTGCTGCGTCACACCCTTAATTAGGAGAAATAATTTCATTAGCTCGAATAGAACTTATTGGGTTGGATGCTGAAATCCCACACTGTTGGAACATCCCAACCTGAAATAGTTATGTTAGATTGCTCGCTGAGTTCTGGAAAATTCTACTTTTCAGACGCATCCCCTCAGGTCTTATTTATTGGGTGGGTCAGCTTTTCCAAAGATACTTATTTCCCGGCAAAACGGGAAAATATGTTGTGCTAGAACTCACAATTAAAGTAGTGGGGTAGATTCCCATATCAGTAAAAATAATTAGTTTGGGAGTAAATTCCCTCAAGGCACACTTTTCCAGTGGTGACAAATTTATAATAATTTAATATAGTATAGTAAAATGTCATTGGGACATTCCGTCCTGTCTCATGCTACAAATACACAGCATTTTCAGAAGTTAATTCCACATTGCCTTCTAAATTTTTAAATTTCAGATCGTCACTTAAGGCATAAGGATTGCAGCCATTGAGCTTTTGTTGCATTTGATAATATAAATATTTTAGGATCTTCTGAGTGTGAGAAAATGGAGAAAAGTTTTCGGGACCCATGCTACAATGCAAGGACTCTGTATCCAAGTGTAGACCTTCCGTAAATTATTCCTGCTTTACTTTTTGTTGGATTTACACAGTACTTCTCTTTCATTTAGGCACAAGATGAGGGATATATATCGTAGCGTATGAACTCTAAAATACTCTAAAATCAGACTGTGACATGAGTCACACTCTGATTTTCTTCCTCTACATTGATTGGTGTATTAGTGAGTAAATAATGCGATGAAGAGCTGTCGAAAGCAGAAATAAATGAAGGTGAAGCATGTAGGGAATAATGATGAATGTATGATGAGATCTCCATCAGTCATTGAAGCAGTTCAAACTTCGCCAGAGACGCTCCAAAAGTAGTGGTAGTAGCATGCATACGGTTGGCAAAAAAGAAAACCATTCGAAGTTTTATAATGAAATCAATATTTTCTAACGGATTGACTTCAAAAGTTAAAGGAACGTTAAGCAATAATATTTCAAGTCTTCTTTTTTAATGTCATGCGTCTTTCACATCCTATTCTTCAGTTATAGCTGGTTTTATTAAATGGTCAATATTCTGATTGAACAGTAATGCCACTGCCGCTGCGAGGGAATTATCCACATTTGCATTAGAATTCATTAAATTTCTGCACAAACAATGAATTTTTAAATAGTAAAAAGCATACTTGTGCGACATACTGTAAAAAAACTTTTCATTTTGATCACTCAGGATCCTGTTTTTAAAGAAAAATTCATTTGTGGATACGTGCCTCGCAATCGCAGTTTCAATCTTTTCCACGAAATATTTTATTTATTTAAACATAATCAGCCATAACTTAAGAATGAAAAATTAAAGCCAATTGACATTTGAACACATATTTAAGGACATGTTAGGCAACGTTTCTTCAAATTTTGAACTCAATGCGTTCCAAAAGATGGGTTTTATTGCCAAATTTCGAGTGGTTCCCTTTTTTTGCCCAACACTTTTTGTAGTTCCGCTAAATCAAACTCTAATCATACTTCCCTTCTTGCTTCTACTTTTCTCTCATTCGTTTCTACCATTCAGCAGCACTTTATTACATTATTTTATTCACGTACGCAACAAATCAATCTACAGGGCGGCAACAAAGTCCCTTAATAAGGAAATCAAGGCGTGTCTGTAGGCTGTCCTCTGCTTTCCGCACATTGTTTGGTCCTTCCACATGCTCTTTTGGACATTCTCCATGTGGAAGCCTGAATATCATGGAACCAGCTTCTGATGGCTGTTTTAAGATCTTCAACATTTGTTAGGCGTAGTTGAGAAAATTGTTCCTTCACGTTCCCCAAAATGGACATGTTGTCAGGTCTGGGCTGCGAGATGGCCATGCCATAGATCCCATCCAATCCATTGTCCACTAAGCGTGTTATTGAGATATTCTCGAACTGGTGCACCATCTTGGTCCCTGCCATTTATGTGTTAGCATCGATAACTGAGGATGAAATGACTCCTCAGACAGAACGCATCATATCTCACACACACCCAGATTTTCAGCTATTGCCTAAGGAACACCTTTAAGACATCATCAAAAGCAGTGTATACTATGAAGAAAAGAGAAATTGATATATTTTTTCTTTAATTAAAAAATAGCGATGTTGCATGACACCGCAGCCAAGATGATCAAAACGCAGAATTCATTGTACTGTAGGATGTTCTCCTCGTGGCGACATCCACTGTTGGGTTGCCTATTTGTTTTAAAGATTTTATTCATTTACCCCTTTCGCCGTGGATTGACTCCATTGGAAAAGCCGTCCCACCTAATAAACGTGGCCTGAGGGGATGCACCTGAAAATTAGGATTTTTCCTGAACTCAACATCACAATAGATATTTGCGTACCAAGTTTCATCCTTCCTTTTCTACCTAAATATGCTGAAATAAAAAATGATAGCGAAATGTCTCATCCTCAAGAACTCCCATTGGAATGTATCTGTAAAGTAATTTTTTATACTGAATTTACAATCTCATAAGGCTTGTTCACATTTAGTTTAACCTCTTTGTCTCTTCGTTTGGCTGAAGCAAACATTTATTCGAGAACGTCATCACGTAGTCATAAGCCCCCAGCTCATAGTTATTCCGAAGTTGGATTTTTTTTTTAATCTTAGGATCTTTGTGGCTACTTACGTACCAAGTTTCGGGTTTCTACCTTACCTAGTTAAAATTAGCGCCAGTCACTTAGTCACGATCTTCTATACACAGGGTATGTTTGATTCTTTGGCACACTTTTAAAAGCTTTCCTGTACGGGTTCTGGAGGGAAAGAGCAGACGTTGATGCCTGAGAATTCCTCTTACGGTTGCATGAATGCATTTAGTGGGCACCCTCCTTAAGCTATGTTTTTTTTAACACTTGAGTGCACTAAACCTCAGGGGGCGAAAGACTGATGTTTATCAAGAGTTACACAAGACGGCATTTAGAAAAATATATTGTGATATGGACCATCTTTAGCATTCATCTATATGGATTACCTGGGCAGGATTTGTATCCCTGCCATTTCTTTACCATTAAGGGCAAGCGAGTTTTCTTGGGGGGGGGGGTTTCTGACCAATGCAAGATGGCATAACTTTTTAGTAATATGTCATGTTGCGACGTCAGACTCTCGTGTAATATTTTCCACATCCAGTAGGTAACATCTGGTAAGACTGTAAATCCAACTTCGCTGGTTTCCTGTCGAGAAGAGGGAAGAGGAGGGGGAACAAGGATATATATTTCCTTTGGTTCCGGGTCCCTCTGCCCTTGAGACAAGAATCCAAGCACCTGGCGATTCCCATGGGAAAAGCCCAAAGGACGCCTCTCCGAACTCTGATAAGATAATGCGATTTTGAAATCCTCTAGTGTCAGCTGGGATCTTCCACAGTGGCGCTCCATAACATGGCGGCTACAAGTGGACTCCTCTTCGCGCTTCTTGTTTCTGGTAAATTATTCAATTAACTCGTAACATTTCTTTTCCCGATAAGCTGCCGTAAAACGGTTCTCATTCGCCGCATTACAGAACTCTTTGCTAAGATATTATCATCTGCCCGTATAGTACCATAGCAGGAGGATTCAATTAAAACTTCCTCATTTCGAAACTTCCTTGACTGAAAAAATGAAAATTTGGAATGTTCATACGAAAACTTCAGGTGGAGCCAATGGATAGGACGCTAACTTAAAACCCTAGACAAATCGCCTCTCTCCCCCTCTCTCTTCGTATTCTCAATACCTTCGCGATCGATACTAACGTGGCCTTTGGTTTTCCTAGCCTGCCTAACGCTGTATTTCGGGTCCTACGACGTTAAGGGGCAGGAAGAGCAGTGCGATGCCAGATACTACGACTACGACAGCTTCGTCTGCGTTTGCACGGAGGAGAGGTGTGACAGTCCGGGGGAAATCCTTCCCCCGCAGGATCCCGAAGTCCTTCTCTCCGTGCTAACAACTAGGGATGAACATCGGTTCCACGTTGACACCGCACCGTTCCGTGAGCGAATTCCCTGCATTTTGGTGCACGGAAGCTATAATCTCTCTAATCTCTCCCTTTCGTCCCAGACATGTCCCGGCAAAATCCGAATGCAATTATAAGGATCAACAAGTCTCAGACATTCCAACGGATCCTCGGGTTTGGGGCGCACTTCCCCGATGCCACCGGATTCAACTTGCTCTCCCTAGGGGAACCTGCCCAGAGAGCAATTATGGAGTAAGTTCATGAACTTGAGAACTATTAATATTTTGCGTGCAGCGATGCAATCCCATCATTTCCTTCATACAGAGGGTACTTCTCCGAGAGAGGGTGGAAGTACAACCTCGCTCGGGTCCCGATGGCAGGTGTCGATTCCTCCGTTCGTCCCTACACCTATGACGACGTTGATAACGATGCTACTTTGGAGCATTTTGCTTTGGCGCCAGAGGATTACAACTACAAGGTTATTCCTTTCCATCTATACAGGTAGGATAGTTCTAATTTTTCGACGAGAAAAGTAAACATTGATGATAGTACTAGTTCGCTAAAAAAAAAAAAAATATTGAAGTTGTGTGAAAGCCATTCTTCAAAGTCTTTTCCATTTTCTACCACACCCTCCACCCCTCCCTACGGGATTCATTAATGTTAGGCTTAGGCCTACCCCATAGATTGTCACCAGGTCAGTCGCCTTACCAAAACTCACGTTCTCCTCTGACTAGAGCTACTCGAAGCTTCTAGAGAACTGGCTGGGGAACAATTACATTATAATTGGAAGGGAAAGGGTGATTTAAAAAGAGAACGCGCTACCGTTTTCCATGGGAGGAAGCAAATTTCGTAACTATCCAGTAAAAATCTTCACTCGGTGAAACATCATTATGCGTAGTAATGAATCTGATGCTACGATGTACAACGGTTAATACTATTACTACGCGTCGAATGGTTCACGGACATGGCGCAAAAGTCAGTCTTCATGGCGTCAAGTGAGAGAAATAATTCTAGCAGTCCCCAAATTGCATCCACCTCTTGCAAGGGAAAATTACTTTTTTTACTTCATGTTGAAAACTACCGTCGATTTCTATTCAGACAACTAGGTAATTGAAACTTTCATAAAACAAATATTGCTACGTTTCCAATGTGATACGAAAAGATCACGAACTTGGATCATCCCCAGCGGGTTTTATAAAGCGCCAAACAGGACGTATTTTTTTGGGTCACCCAGTATATAACTGCTTGGGAATGCCAATTAATCAGTTTCAGTAAATTGAAAGATTAAGAGGTCGCAAATTAAGAGGTTTGATTAAGTACAAATTTAGTTTTCGATGACACTCTGAGTTAGCACTTCATTAACATAAACACATTGATCTCGTTTCTAGTAAACCATTCAAAACTTTTTGCTCCAAATACCCATGCATTCATACTGTCAGGACCCACGTAGAGCGAGAGCTCTATTACCGTTGACGCATCGCCATGTGCGAAAACTTCCTGACCTAGAGTGAATCCTTACTGACCTCCTTCCTGGATTCTGCCCTTGCAGCTGCCTTTCATTAAAGAAGCGAAGGAACTGAGCGAAGGGCTCCTAGTGATGGCCAGTCCCTGGTCGGCTCCTGCGTGGATGAAGACCAACGGCGCCATCAACGGCACCAATGGAGGGGCCGCACTCAAGCCTGAGCATTATGGCTTGTGGGCCCAGTACTATCTCAAGTCAGTTCCTTCTCGTGTTTCCAACTTGTGTACGAAGAAATTTCATGAAATGCCACAAATACAAACCCAGCAAGTTTTGAGACTTAGAATTGATGCGTGTGACTCGTTGTGAGCTTCACATTTTTTCAATTATGCAATTGCAATCATACATATCTAGCGCTTAGACACGAGGAAGTTCACGCTTGCGAAATAAAGGAATATACATATTAAAACATTTTCATATATTTCAGCCATTCGATTTTGACTGAATAAGTTGAAGAAATACCGCTCAATCGGCATGAAATCCTACAGAATCACCATCCATTTAGTCTCTTTGGATTATAAACATCATGAGAACCTTCTCAATGATCCCTGTCCTACAGATTCCTGCAGGCATACGAGGCAGAAGGAGTGCAAGTGTGGGGGTTGACGCCACAGAACGAGCCCATCTTCGGAAGCTTACCGGATTTCCCCTTTAACTGTATGGGGTGGACCCCAGAGCAGCAGCAAGAGTTCGTTAGGGATCACCTCGGTCCCACCCTGAGGGATGCAGGATACGGGAATATCCTTATTTTTATCTTCGATGATCAGCGATACTACATAGAAGAGTTTGTTACTATCGTAAGTGCTTCGAACGTAAGGACAATATAACGTTCCAACGATGAAGTCTTTTGGGGCTATGGCCTGGAGAAAAAGGTTTGGAAGTGCGATGTCGCTCCTTCCCAGCGCGTCAAATGAGTCCATGTTAGGCTTACAGGTAGAGGATCTTTGTGATTGGCATCCATGTAACAGCAGTAGACGGAGGTAATTGGGAAGTGTGGTACGTAGGCTGGACCTCCCTTTTAGCGCTTTGGATATCAGATTTCAATCCAACTTTGGAAAAATAATGCGAATCTCTCCGAAGGAAGGGCATGGGCGAAATTGTATGATAATACGGACTGATTCGCGACCTACTTGGCATTTGCCAAGTCGGGAGAGTTGAGAGTAGTGATGATAGCAGGTGAGGGGAAAGTTTCACATGGCATTTCAGGCAAAGAGAGAATCATTTCATCTGTGCGTCTCTAATATTTATTTGATTCGAGGACTGAATGGGTTCAGGATTGTTTGGTTACTCCTAATGGTATTGTTTTCTAGATTTCCCTCTCTCTGATACGGACATACTTGACCCAACGTTTCCACTTACGAATCTCAAGCACGCATTTTAGGGGTGTCTTGAACAACACCTGCTTACGGTTACCATGAAGTGGCTTACTGCCTCAATCCTCCCAAAACATCTCTTTATCCGACAGACTGGGGCGGGAAACTCCCCATATTATAGCGGTACTTAGGATTGCTTCGTTTCATGGGTTTCCCTATCTCATGATCACAGGAACACAATCTTTTATTGATATGAGCCTTTTCTTTGCATCAATCAATATCCAATGTTCGAGGGAAGCAGAAGAATTTGGGAGATTCAATTACTATTTAAACAAGGGTAACACGCGATCACCTCCAATTTTTTTTTAAATTCAGAATGCAGGGTTTTCCTGGTCCCAAACCCGGAAGTGTCGCATTTCAACCTAATTGAGTCAATGGATCAAATGCTACAGGGTGGTCAACATGTAGGGTGACGTGGTAACCTCCTATTTTTATATTCCTGTAGCTCAAGTAAATTTCATGGTAGAACGTTGATTGAAGTGTCAATTCATTGCAAATTACGCGAGAAACTATTAGTTAGCATATCACCTGAGTACAAAAAAGTCATTTTTCAACAAAAATTTTGATGTTTGAACTCGTTTTGACCTTTGAACCCTTTCATACCAAATTTAATTTTAAAATTGAGGATGGTCGGCTGTTAATTTACCCATTTTTAGCTGATTTATCTTGAAGTAACCCATCGATCACTCCATGGCGTCTTCCTTTCTAAGGAAGCCCCAGCGACTGGAGATTCTTCACCCTTTCCTTTGAGGCACTGCCTTTGGAGAGGAATTCCTATGTCTCTTCAGACTCGCTGAGAAACAATATACGGTTGAATGTCTCAGCATCCTTAATTCTGGGAACGTCAGCCTTCTGATATCGAAAGCACCACTCTTAATTCTGCGTCACCTCAGTCTAGCCGAACGTTCATATGTACAATGAATTTTCTCTTGGATATATAGCCTCTATATCAGAAAATGGTTAAAGAACTTGCATCTGCAGAATAGAGGGTTTCGAACCTAACTTCATGAATTCAATTGTTGACACGGATCGTTGGAATATGGCTCTCATTCATGCCTACGTCTTAGTTGTGAACTTGGATTATTTTGGTTCAGTCTCTTTCATTCTGAAGGCAAAGGTAAAGCAACATCAAAGTTTTGCTAGAAGAGGAAGAAAATTACGAACACGTCGCTGCATCTGTTCCTGAACACGTGGGTTGCCAAGCAGAACTTTTAATATGCAAAATGTTTTAAAGGCGAAGCACTCGGCAGCTAACGTTTTATGTGGAGAGAGCATTTTCAAGAGGACGATGTGTTTCCCATATTCTTGTTCAGACAGCAGAAATCATGCTCTGAAACTTTTAGAAGAGCGTGGATCGAAGGAACTACTAACTTTCATCGAAAATCTCATATTCGTTTTCGTGAAAGGAAAGGGGCGTTCTTCTAAGATCAAGTTCAATATACCGTGCTGAACAGTATAGAAAAGTCCTCACCTGGGGCAAGACAATTACCATTCCTTTGGCATCCTAAAAGTCATCAAGTTTGTTTCGTAGCAGTAGAGTTTCGGTTTCTTCGCTTACGGAAATAAAGAGAGCAAGAGCCCCTAAGATCTAAGAGCCAATTTTTACAATCACTTTATAAAGCCAGAACTTACAGGTGATGGCAGACGAAGCGATGTCGGAGTGGGTGTCAGGTGTGGCGATGCATTGGTACATGAACTTCATTCCGCCGGATGTCCAGGACACGATCCACGAAATGTACCCGAACCTCATGCTTCTGATGTCGGAGGCGTCCAACGGCGTAAACCCCTGGGAGCACCATATATTCCTAGGATTCTGGGAGCACGGCGAGAAGTACGCCCTCGATATCATCCAGGTGCGATGCAGTGTTGAGTAGATTGGATAGTTGCGATGATTGCAGATTGAAGGGGCTAATGTGCGATAAGATTCAGTGGGGTACCAGGTGCAAGATGCTAAACGCACATGAATGCACCCTGTCTCTACAACGGCAGTTGAACCTTCCTCCAGTAACGTCATCAAAACAAGAAACCTCCTTTAGGAGGTTGCCTCCTTGCTCATGGTTACTCCGGCACCTATTGCTATTGCTAAGCCAATCTAATCAAGAGCCCCAGCACACTCGGGAAGGGACTGATATGAATCAAAATTCCAGAGGAAAGTGCGTAACTATTTAAGTAAGAAACAAATATAAATACGAAAATTGACCGAAGTGTATAATTTCAATTTACCGATTTATTTGCGTAATTAATGTGCGAAATATATTGATACTTGAGACAAGCCGTGGGTTCTAATTGGAAGAAGCCTGAGGGTCATGAAGGCGACTATGTACAACGAATTGTAGACTAATGAAAATAATATATTTGCGTTTTTTCATGCTGGTCTTGCTAAGTGCACCACGTTTTCTACCTCTCTATGCCACTTTTGGAACAGCTCCAGGGAAATGAAGCAATGTTTTCTCCAGGTAAAATCAAAGATTGTTTCGTATCGTATCCTTATTCATGAATATGGTGGAAAATTCTATCGCAGAATCTAAACCACTGGATGGTAGGATGGTTGGATTGGAACCTGGCGGTGGACCTGCTCGGTGGACCGAACTGGGCGGAGTTCTACGCGGATGGGCCTATAATCGTCAACGCAACCGCCGGGGAATATTACAAAAACCCGTCCTATTACGCAATGGGACATTTTTCCAAGTTCATTCCCAGGGATTCCCTTCGAGTCGGAATCGAGGTGGAGGACGGGACGGGCAGCCTCCTCCTCGATGGCACTGCGGTGCTCACCCCGGAAGGACACATTGTCGTCGTGCTTCTCAACAGGTTAGTTGAGATTTGTTTCGTGAACGCAGAGTCCCAAAAGTAAGGCACTCCATCGCTTTCTATGAGGACTTGGCAGTTTTGAATCGTTACTTGTAGTTTTGGAAATTATTCGCATTCAGCTTCTATTTTATCATTCTGATTCCATGTAGAATTCAATAGCATATGCTTTTTAAGTACAGGTCTCACTAAAACGAACTCTTCCATTAATGAATTCCAAAGTTATTATACTCATACGTCTTCTCTTTGCATGCACAAATAGGGAGAAACAAGTAGGAGGAAACTTCTGAAGTGGACCGGAAACGCTGACGCCGACTAATTCCTCCCTCGCTGATGCGATGAGCTTTTAATTTCTCTCATCCAATGAGTCATCAGAGTAATGAAAGGGCCTCTCCGGCTTCTAGCGCAGTCTTTGTACTGCACTCAAATGAACATGAATTTTTTACAAGGCTGTCGAGCGATTAAAAAATGTAATAGGTTAATTGTGGGCCATTTGATCCATTAATCGGTCGACTCATCGAATTTTAATCGATCCCTTTGTTCCTTCTTGAATCGTGTCTTAGGCGTTACATATGATTCTTCTTCTGCCGTGCCCAACACCTACGTTGTAAAAAATAAATGTTCTGGAGTGAAACTTTTATAGAACTATTTTCATAGATAAGATGAAATTGATTCCTGGTGCTACAACGATCTGAGGGCGCTGACAGGGCAGAACATGAACGCATCTCCCTAGGACATTCGCCCGATCACCCCGACCAATAACTATTACGCAGATTTAGTGGAAAACGGTTCTACGCTGAAAAATTGAAGGTTCGGATTGGAACCTATTTTCAGTTTTACTGGGCAATCTATAGCTTAGCATGTAGAACACACAGAAACAAAAGGCAAATGGTACAAATGGCAACCTTTTGGAGTTTGACATTTCAAAATTTGACAATTCAAGAAAATGACATCTCAAAAAGTTTAAATAAACAAGTAATAGAATTATGTAATAATAAGAACAATCATGGGCAACATTACATAATCATCGGCATCTACTTTGGTGAAAATTTTGTAGAACCATTTACGCGGAATTAAGGCAATACCAGCTGAAATTGGTTACTTCCTGGAGCTATTATGATCTCAGGGCTTTGACACAGCTGATAATGCTATTGATACGGTCTGAGATATTCATATGATCCCACGAGGATCAATTAAACAAAGATAGTGAATTAAATGGTTCTAGGGATCGCAAAGCATAGTGTCGTGCCGAGCACCATCCTTATTGCTTCAAGAGCTACCAGGTTATTTGGCGTCATTATGTCGAATGTTTTTGAAGCGAGCTTAAAACCATAGCAAACGGTGTTCCCGATTACCGGAAACCGCCCTGAAAGCGTACAAGCATCTGAGGGTTCTAGTCTGGACCATTATACGAGAATACGGCCATTACACGGCCATTATACGAGAAGCGTTTAGAAGTGTTGGGACTGTACTCGCTCGAACGAAGAGCCCCGGGCCGACCGCGTCATCGCCGCGCAGCATTTTCTGACCCTCAAATCCCCATGCTTCGACATCCTCGTTACTCGTTACTCGACCTCGACACGTGATATCGAAATGAGCGAAATCGCCTCTTGATATCACTAACTATCCTGAAATCCTGAAATTATTTTTTTTTACCGCGTAGGCGAACCTCCTGAGGCTGGCCTAGGTGTTGGGCATTTCCTGAGACATTAATTTGGTGCATGTCTTCTAATGCGACATGTTTCAGCTTTTCCAATCATTCCCCGACAATTTTGGAAATTAGAGAAAATACTTTGAGAAAATACTTATTTTCCGAAGTATAGGGATGGAAATGCCAATGTTGCCCTCTCTCATCCTCTTTTCAAGGAACGAGACGGAGGTTGCAATCCGGCTGGAGGAGGGCGGTCTCGCTTTCGACACCAGGTTGCCTCCCAAGTCCATGGCCACTCTCGTCTGGGTGGCTTCCGAATAGAGAGAAGACCTTTTCGCTATGTTGAAATGCTTGCAAGAGATGAAGTTCTGATTGATATCTCTTTCTCAAACGATGTTGTTTGCTATTCTCTCTGTTCCAATCCATTCGAAAGATTCCTGGACCTTTATCTATTCGATGTGAGAAAACAATTCTAAAACTCTATTCATTCGAGGAAAAATACGGGCACATCTTGCTCCTTTCACCAAGTGGAAAAGTGATACATCCCAGTTTATTCCAGTTTATCTATCACAGACGAGGAAGACTGGAATCCGATCAACGGGTCTATATTCATCAGGCAATAACTAGTGGATAGAACCAGGGTTTGTGAAGATGCAGTGCATGCACTTCGTACAACTCTCTCGAGGAAAATCTGACTTGTAACGAATAATAGGCAAGGGGATATGTAGTCGAGTCACTGGGATTTTGACTCATCTCTCATTTAAATAGTCATCCCCCGAAGTTACGTCGTAATTGGTTCCGAGACCGACGTCGTAAGTCGAGAGAGATTTTCCCATAAACGCAATGTTAAAATGGGGTGGGTGGTTCCAGACAATCAATTTTGACCAAGAAAAAAAGATATATTTCTACAGTACTGTAACAATGTTGCCGACTACTCACGGCCTGCGACACTTGGCGCGCTCAGTACGGTGTTGCCGACTACTCGCAGTTGAGATACCAATTCATGGACGACGTAAAGGCAACGTAATACGACGTAGGTACGAATTTGTACGCTTGGCTTACGATATTGGGTCTGAGGGGCAAACGACGTAAGACGAGACGACGCAATTGGGGGATGACTGTACCTAAAGTTATCCCCCTATGGGGAATAGGGAGCAGACGACGAATAGCGGAGGGGAGTAGCCCCTGACGTCACATAGCGCGGAACGGTAGCCCTCTCCCTTTTTCTGAGGTAAACAATGCCCCCCTCACCCTGTGTTGCGCTAGGGTGGCGGAGGCATCCCTTCGAACGCCAGAGGGAGTGGAAACTCTCTGTCATACTTCATATGTTCGTATATTTTATTGACGAAGCAACATGACTCTCCAAGCTACTTCGTTGCCAGCACCTACGTTTTTGGGTAAAAGCTTACTTTTAACGTTTTCCGTCATCCATCCTCCAGTCCAAGGGAATCTGTGTGGAAAGAGGTATACAACTTTTACTGGATGTAGTCATGAATCAGGCGTAATTTCGACGCGACATCCGGCAACACTGAGAGACGATACCGGAGCAAGCTCCCTAAGCCTAATTAAGCCACAACCTAATTTCACTTTTCATGGCGAAATGATGCATCAAAAATAAAGGAAAGTCCCCTTTTCCTCATCTACGAGTCATTATCTTTCTTATGGTTGGTCTCTTTCCTCCGAAAGCCTCCCAGGAGGGAAGAAAAAAAAACGGATTGGGATTCAAATCTTCAAAAAGCGAGATTCAGTGATCTCCACAACCCCCGGGGAAATGGAGCTTCAAAATTTCTGAAGCGATTCTATATATATGATTAATGTGACAAATTTCGTTCTTGTTGATGCTCTCAGAGAGAAATACAAAGAGGTGGAATGTTGTCGCGGGAAGGGCTTAAAGAAAACTCTTTAGCTTAGAGAACGAGAAGAAATCGGTTGGAGCCAAGTCAGTAACGAGTAACGAGTAACGAGTAACGAGGATGTCGAAGCATGGGGATTGAAGGGTCAGAAAATGCTGCGCGGCGATGACGCGGTCGGCCCGGGGCGTTTTCATGGTGCGTCGTGCTTTCATTTTTCCTGAGGCGATATGCTTCAAATGTAACAATTGTGTTTAAATCATTATTCAGAGAACTATTTGCCAGACAAAATTTAATATTTTTGTGTTTGCCATTTTCGATACCGCAAAAAATTCAGCAAAATGAGTCTTCTAAAAAATAATTGCCCTGTAGGTTCGTACCTCAAAACTAAAAGTACGAGGTGGAGTGAAAATAAGGTGAATTTCAGTAATGTTTGAAAACAGTTTATTCCAGAATCACGAACCACTATGTTTTATAATTAATTACCCCCCACCTCAACACATTTATTCCAGCGACTGACAAGCTTTCTGATTCCATCAGAGAAAAACGTTTTTGGTGAAGAGCGTAGTCAATTATGCACCGCATTTTGAACGTCTGTATCATCCCTGAAATTGCGCCCCCGAAGTGCATCTTTAATTGGCGACCGTTTCTGAATAGTTCGCACCACTTGTACACATTTTTCGATGAAGAACAACTGTCCCCATATTGTGCACACGTTCTACGATACATTTTACTTGGTTTGACTCTTTCTGACAGTGAAAATTGAATAACACTTCGCTGTTTAACAGCGGTGCAATCTGAATTCGGAGCCGCCATTTTAGAAACTGTCGGCGACAAAGTTGCCAACTTTATATTGCTGAAACTATGAGTACTACATGTTCAGACATGCAGTAATGAGGGTATGTGGTAATGAGTACATAATCGGTAAATAATGTCCGTGAAAATATTAAATTCATATTATTTATTGACTCTCTCTCGTATATACGATATCATTACTTGAAAAATGTACGTGCCTAATTTCAGCATTTTGAAAAGAGTCTACTATAGATTCATTCTTCGATTTACCTGTAACGTATATAATGGGAGGTACACCTATGAGTCGTGGAGTTAGCAGAACGTCCTCGATGCTTCTCCCACTGAATTGAGGGAACCGGCTCAAGAACATAGGTTACAGTCATGGTTACAGTCATAGCATGAGGATAACGCACGAATGTCCTCTCCTTAATTGAGTTCTTCAGAAAAAGGGCGTAGGTGCTCATACGCCCTTTTCCCATATCCGTGTCCATGCGCTGCTTTGGGTGACTTGTCATTGGATAGGGTGGTCAGGAATGTGTTACGATGCGTATTCAGGAAAGGAGATACAGATTTTCCAACTTCTTTACCTCATGGCAGGCCCACTGCCTGCCAATTTCAATACGACTGCCTCAATGAATATTCCATTGCCATCATTGAACAATTTCGCCATCAATCATCGAGTTTCGTTTAAAATTAAATCTGAATTTCCTTTTATTTGGAAAATTTCCCTCGAAGTAGCTTTCTTTTCAAGTAACGTTTCGCTGTTTTCGGTCTATTTTGATCACTTTCGTATCAGTTTTCCCTGCTCGAATATGTTTGACTTCATGGAGGTTTTCCGGATCAATTCATGGTTTCAGCCTGCCGATTATCGAGATTCCCGTAAAAGGAGGTAGGCTTCCAAAAGACGAATTTCACCTGGACCTCCGTGGGGAGGAGAACCAGGTAACCTGGTTAAGGTCTTCCCGCTCACCTTCTTATAACACTGACGCCAGAACATTGTGGAACTGACGCCGAGAGAAGACGAAGGTCAAGGCGTTATATCAAATCGTCGCCTTGTAGGACAATGTGGTATGCGGGCCTTTATTGGCGGCATCACGCAACTCCCATCGCAACCCGCAGTGCACGTTTCCGAACGTTAATGGTCTCATGCCACACTGTGTACCTGTTACTATGGCTATGAGAAAGCTAATGAGCTAAGAAATAACTGAAGATGGCGCACCCATAGGAACAGTATAGGCATGCGTACTGCAATTAGAAGACATACCTAGGTACTTGTTGGGCTTATGGCTCCTAGCCACCATTCACTCCTATCGGATTTCCCCCGATTTTTCATAATGGAATTAGCGTCAGTCAGTCAGTCAGTCACGATCGTCTATATATATTAGATGAATACTCTCCTTTTCGCACAGATGAAGAATGTGAAGATTTACAGTGATTTATGTGAAGAATGTGAAAAGCAAGACCGGACGAGACACGTCATGATCATTCAAAAATTTCACAAAGGTATTAGTAATCTAGCTGTAATACGTTTCGCGATTAATCCAGCCTGTTTCGATCACACCGATGTCAAACATGCCCTTGTTCTGAACTCCCAGAAAATGATCCTTGTTTGGATGCCTCGCACCAGGATAGGCGAAAAGATAGGGCACGACATCCACCCTTGCTGACAGACAAGGAACAACAGTGAGGGAGGTACGTTTGCCAGCTGATAGGTGATAGCTCTTTGCACCTTTGGGACTCAGAACTTTGCCCCCTTTGCCTTCGATCTGTAATCCAGTTTCATCGATGTTGAAAACTCGATGTTCGTGTCCCTTCTCTGTCAGCAATTCTGTTTCAGATGCTCTTCAATGGATGAAAACCATTTCATAATGTCGTTCTTCGAGACTCTCGCCCTATCTGCTAGGAGCTCTGCAGTGCGAAAGGCGATCCTTGGGTGCCGCTTCAGGAATCTGTTTATCCAGCCTCTTGAGGGAAATCCTTCAGAGAAGGAAACCTTCCTAGGATCAGTGTCGTCAATATGCGACAGGAGTTGTCGCACAAGATCCCGTACATCGGCTTTTGAAAGAGGATAGCTGGCATGGAATAGAAATTAATAACTTATTTATAATTCATTCGCCAAGCACGTTGAATAGGAATAAGAGGAAACGCTCTGGATTAGTCAACGAACGGAGTTTCTAACCCCACCCTCTTCTGAAAATACTATAACCTCTCGGGAGCCATGAGGTCTGCTATTGAGTTGTATATTAATTGTATTGAGTATATTACAATAAATGTAAAAAATGAATTTAACAACCCATAATACGAAGTAGGAACATGTTCCTACCCTCTTGTAGCCATAGAAAAAAAGTACTTTTCCAGCATTTCCTCTTCACTTTCGATGAGCAATGGTTATTTTCCTCTCCCAAAGCCCGCTATTTTCCCATGAAGATCATAAAAAATTATCGTTGAGGGAATATCGTATCGATGGCCAGCAGCTCTGTATACAATCCTCCCTGATTTCACTGCTTCGGTTGCTTCCATCAGAGCATTGAGAGTGTAGTTGGATTGCTGACATCTCTTTTATGCATTTTTGGCTGATGGCTGCTTTTTACTTTTCCCTTTCTTGAGGGAGACTCTCCCCACTGGAGCCATTGTGACCTGAAGAGGACCTGTAGCTCATATGTGATTATTTAATTGATTTTCGATTGACCGCATCCACCCTACTCCGTCGGAAGCAAGAATTATGATTCCCACTTGATTCATCGATTTAGCCAGGGAAAATTATTTTAAAACCGTGGATGTTGGATGACAATTGGATTATTCAAGAGGGTTTAGGGTGCAAACAATAAGGTGTCACCCAATCGCGAATATAAAAATTTCTGCGAATGAAAGGACGTATCTCTCCACCAGTATCTCTCTTATTTACTCCAATTACCTTGTATTTGCAGTCGACAGCTGACAGAAACAGTGAATAGGCGATATCCGTAAATAATGGTATAAATAAAAGTCATTAGGACATGAGATATGTGTTTTTTCGCACTGAAAGAGAAACGTCAAGTTCCCCTGATGGGAAGCTTGCACGCTGATACGCTCCAAGTCACTACGAGTCACATAAAACAAGAGTCAAACGTACTATTCGACCTATGGATTTCCAACATAAAACCGAACAGGCGCTCAGGTTTATGTCTGACGACATAATCAATCCCGACTCGTGGGAAATTATCCTACCATTAACATATTCTTAATGGAACTCTTTTAATGAATTGTGCATGAACACGAACTTCTATGAAACAATTTTCCTGATGATGCTCTACAACTGAAACACGATTGTTTAATATCCAAAATCTGAGCGCGCTCAGATTTCGCAACAGTACTTCTTCTCACTATCGAAATATCACAGGAAATCAGAACCACGGCATCTCCAATACAACAGGGAAACTAAAGCAAGATAATTCAATCGCCTAAGATGGCGTCGAACAAGCAGTCAATACTTTTTGATTAAGGGTTCGAGTCAAGGTGCACACTCGCGAAGCGTTCGAGTATCTTTATTTTCCCCTATCGATTTTACTTCATTCTCAATAGTGGAAATTCCCATCGCTAAGTGTAGCATTCCTTTAACATGGAACAGCTTGTCAGGGGTAGATATTTGATAATATGCGTGGCTCTCTTGAATAAAATTTGCTGCGGTTTGAAGTAGTGTTGTGTCGATATTTTCTCGTGTTGATGTTTCATCGTGTTGCTGTTTCATCGTGTTGTTGTTTCGTCCAATCGATGATTTTTCGTCAATGGTTTCTCCTTTCGAAGTTTGATGCCGATGTTTCTGACGTGATATCCTCCCCATTTGGCTCTATTCCACCACATTAAGCTTAATTACGTGTTCCCAAGAAAAGAAGGCATCCAAGATTCCCATCATGATTTAGAGGAGCTCAGAGTATGATGTGGCTTCATTTGTTCATGAATGATTTTCACAATTCGTTCCGTATTTATTTCCATGTATCCACACCTTTTTGCACTTATTTAAAAAGCATGGAATCTCCTAAATGAGGATGTTCAAACCATGGTTTTTCTCCTAAAGAAGAGGGTTCGCCATTTGCTGAATGATCATTTAATAATCACATTAAGATCACATGTGAAAGCACGCTGGAGGTTTCTTTGTTTCCTCATTTTGAAAGACGCGTATTCCTGATAAATGCCTGGCGAGCACAAGGAAGACTTCCAGTGATCGGTAGTAGAGTGAGGAGCATTTCTTGGCTTGGCTCCAGATCTTCGCTATGAGCTCCGCTCGGTAGAGGCGGTGGTTGATTGCCGTCAGCGCCAGGTCCTTCCTGATCTCCTTGTTCCAGACAAAATCGAACTTGGTGGTTATTTTGAATCCGTCGTGAACCATGAATGCGTTGTTCAGGACGAGGAATTTCCAACCACGGGCTTTCAGCTCGCACGCCTGAAGAATGGTAAAATACAATTGCACGTTATCATGAATCATCAAAGGTTGCAAGCACATCAAAACTAAAGAAAATGTGAACAATGAAAAGACGAAAATATATCTTCTTAAGGTTTAAAGTAGCCAGGGACTTTTTCCCGTCATTACGCATGCTGCATGCATTGCAAAGCTTGAAAACGTTTTAATTTGGGTATCTGAAATTACTTGCTTTCGCAGACTTTGGTACAAGAGTTCATAAAGCAGCTCCCCCGGGCTATCGTGACTGAATGGGAGAGGATTTTGCATACCTTGCAAGCATCAGCAAGGATGGCTGCTCTTCGCATGTGATTCACAGTTTCCTGCCTGCCCCACGTGACATCCTCATACTTGCATGAGGACAGACGAGACGCAGTGAATGCATCTTGGACTCTCACGTACTCTGAACCCTCGTCCTCCTCCGACTTCTCCAAAAGATCTCTGTTCATGCAAAAGTTTAATATTACATTTTGTAAAAGGTTGATTTATATATTTCCTACAGCCTGGAAGCGAATCCAGTGCATGTATCAGCATTAAGTATAAGAAAGAACAAACATCCTTGCTCCTTTTATTTATGATGCTCCCTCCTTGACACTCTGAAAAAGAAAGCACTCATACATGATCGAGTGGAAATTTTTACGAAATTAATTTTTAGCGATCAAAGTTCGAAATAATTTTGGGACCCCTTGCCTACCAAAATATGCCTAAATCCTAAATTGAGCCATTCATTTCGTGGGATTTTATAATTTATCTGTGAAAGAATTCCAGGATCGGCACTAAAAAACACTCGGAAGTGCCTTGCTTGCCTTGGAGAAGCAGGAAGAGGATGTTGCAGCCATGATGCTTAGAGCACTCGTTGACTGCCCTCGGACGCAGCCTGGGTTTGGCGTTTGGTATGGATGATGTCCTCGGTTTGCTCGATCGTGAGAAATTGGAAGATCCGCTTCCTGTGCTTTCTCATCTATTGCTAGATCATTTACTTACCCTCGGAACCGGCGGTAAGGCGTGCTGATGAGTGGGCGTCATGGGGTTAAGAGGGGGAATGAAGGCCGACGGGACGAGTAGGAGATGCAGTGCTTTCGCAGAATCTTGTAGGAATCCTATACATTTTTTCTAGAATTTTCCTGGTATCCGGTTAGATTTTTTCGGTTTAAATACCAAAATAAATTATATACATTTCTATTGGAATCCGATAAGACTTTTTGTAAGGGATGCTGCATAAAAGAACTGCATATGTGAATTTAATGAAAATGAACATTATACCTGGCGACTGGAAGAAGCATGAAAATAAATGAATCGCTCTTTAGGACTGTCTTTGTTCGCTCCACTTACTTTTACTTAATGCTTCATTCAGCATAGAGGAGAGTGCTCCTCTTGGCCCCTGTCCCATCTTGGCCCCCATAGTCAGACGGGATTATTGGAAATTCAGTATTGCTGAGGAAAGGCTTAACGATAAGGTTTCTTAATGACGGGCTTCTCTTGAACTATAAGAACTCGTTAAATTGAAGCCTGTAGTGCAACAATTGAAATATGTAACCTTCAGGAGGAATTCGCATATTTATCCATAGCCATTATATCTCCATTTTATTTTTAAATCTGCAACTGCCGCCTTGGGTCCAATGGACCCAACTAAAAAATTGCCATTTCTGTAGGCTGCGCCGGGTACTTGAAAAGTTCGATACTCGGTGTATTTTCATGACACGTAATTGTAATTAACCAAAGTATTTTGAAGAGACTCTTTGGGAATGAAAAGATAAATCAAGGGGTTGAATACTGTATAGAACCATCCAGTTTCTGGCAGTTAGAGACCTATCCCTTAGGTGGCATTCTTGGAAATATTGGGTTGGAAAGAAAGTCTTGCAACCCTTTCTAAAACTATTCATTAAAATTTTCAAAGGAATGATGGACGGGGCTTTGCATTTGTATTGGGTTGTAACATATATTCCCGCCGTTTTTATATTTTGTTTGTTTTCACTCCATATTTTTTAAGTTTGGCAAAGTGGATATAGTCATTCGAAAGAGCGTTCTTTCCTCTACAAACTTATTGCCACCATTTTTCCGAATAACTTAATTTTACTTAACTTTCAGGTATTTGAAATGGAAATACCAGGCGGCCAGAAAACCCATTTTCGACACTTACTTTATTTCGCGTTTTGCCGTAATCAAGAAGCAGCCGAAGCAGCTCGGGATATTTGTGCCGATTACGGAGAGGATTCTATAGCTGCGAGGACTGCTCGAGATTGGTTTGCCAAGTTCAAAAATGGCAACTTCGACCTGGACGACACGCCTCGCTCTGGACGACCTACCGAGTTCGACGAAGACCATTTGAAGGTGCTTTTGAAGGAGGACGGTCGCCAAACATGCAGAGAATTGGCCGAGAAGATGAACAGCAATGCAATGACGATATCCCGTCACCTTCAATCAATTGGTTTTACTCAAAAACTTGGAGCTTGGCAAACCAATCTCGAGCAGTCCTCGCAGCTATAGCACCCTCTCCGTAAACGGCACAAATATCCCGAGCTGCTTCGGCTGCTTTTTGATTACGGCGAAACGCGAAATAAAGCAAGTGTCGAAAATGGGTTTTCTTGCCGCCTGGTATTCCCATTTCAAATACCTGAAAGTTAAGTAAAATTAAGTTATTCGGAAAAATGGTGGCAATAAGTTTGTAGAGGAAAGAACGCTCTTTCGAATGACTATATCCACTTTGCCAAA